AATATTGTCATTAGCAGACAGGCAGGCAGACACACAGGTGTCAATAAAACAAGACATTGAGTTTTGTCTGTGACAGCGACATATCTATATCACAGTTAGAAATTCTGTCAACGCTAAATAATGACATTGCTTTTAAGTATCGAACTGAGAAAGTGACTCGTTAAGAAGAACGTGTGGTGAAATAGACAAATGAAATTATATAAACAGTTTATTTACTGTCATAACATATAAAAAAGCTCGCGCCTGTGAGATATCAACAAAACATTATGAAAATAGCTCACACCAAAGCCTTCACGGAGTATTCACCAGACAGCCCGCTTCCAAGTTGCGCGAACCACTACCCATCAAAAGTTTAGACTCACTAGTGTAAATGTAGCCACTTACTTGTCCACTGTTCTAAACTAGCTTTTTGCAAAATATTCCATACTGTTTAAAGGTACTGTTTAGTTATGAACTGGTGTATTGTAAAACATATTCGTAACATTGAAAAGATTATTGTCATGAGTTCAGTAAATGATTAAAATCTGTGAAAATTGGCGAATTCTTAACAAAACTTTACACCAAAACGAATCTGTTCACATGCACGACATTTGCTCATGCCTTTCGCAATTTGAAGCATCATCCTTGTGCAATTCATCTGCATAAGGTTTTCAGTTGGTTCCCCCAAGTTGGTGGAGAAATTCATCTTCGATGTAACCACATACATATACATAACATATAGTGAGTGCTTTAAGTGAGTCTAAACTTTTGATGGGTAGTATATTTCACTGCGCACGTGCTATGAGCGCAGCCCAGCTGTTGAAACCCGTATTCCCCAGAAAAGTCTGGGGAAAATTAGTGAAACGTTTGAACTCCGATTTCGCGCGTTTTTTTTTCATCGCGTTATTTTTCATGTTTATAAGTTGAATTAGCATTTTTGACGATTTGTTTCGGTAAGTCCATACCGAAAGGTATCAGAATCTGCAAAGTTGTGTTTTACGTTGCATGTGACCTTTAAACAAATATACATTTGAACTAAAATCATGAAGTCGGCATCGTTAAGCGTGCTTAACAGGAACAAATAAGAGTTACATAAATTTTTGTTGATGTACGGAACTATACGGTCGCGCTGAGCGCTTAGTAGCAGCTTTGAAAGTACAATTCCGTCAGGGTAATAATGTAACGACAGAGAACAGCATCGCGTTGGATTCTAGGCGCAAAAATTAGCATTGTTATTATTATTATTATTATGGAGTTTGGTGTGGGTTACAGTTCTATGTTTGACACTACGAGACAGCCAGACCTGCCTTACGTTATGGAGGAATCGCTTCTACATTACAATGTGGTGAGTTTCTGATGTAATAAAGGACGTGTTAACTTATCACTCTGTGCAGAAGAATGGTGTACATATGTTTCAGGAAGTGTAAATATTCTCTGTAGCTTTATTGTCATATATGTCTGTCAAAAAACGGTTCAGTAAAATAGGTTTGTTATTGTAGATTTTGTTTCAGATATACATTTTAAGTATAGATGCTCAAAAGAAATGAAAATTGATATTCTAGAAAGGTATTGCAAGAAGTGGGCACTCTATCTACCGACAAGACCAAGGTCGCAGTGTTAAAAAAAAGGTGGCAAAATATCAAAACATGAAAAGTGGTACATTGGTAAAGAGAAACTTGAAACTGTAAACTACTATAAATATCTGGGATTAACTTTGTCATGTAGAAATATGTTTTCTAAAGCTTGTGATGTCTTATCCAAGCAAGCCGAGAAGGCTCTCTATCGAATCTAGAAATTTATGTGTGCCTATAAAATCAGCTCTTCCACAGATTGCTTTTAAAATATTTGATGGAAAAATCCAACCTATCCTTTTGTACTGGGCAGAACTTAAGGGACAGTGTATCGACACAACATTGAAAGGTACATTCAAATTTTGCAAATTCGTCTTACGAATTTGTTACCGCTCACCCACAAAAGCTATCCTGGCAGAATGTGGACGATATCCACTGCATGTAAATTATAAAGCTACAGTAATATCGTATTAGATATGGTTGCTCGGACAGCCTGATTCTCGTAATTCGAAACGATCTTATCTTATGTTAAAACGTTTAGATGATTGTGGAGATGTTAACTGAAGCTCGGCAGTGAGAGACTTATTGTTCCAGCATGGCTTGTCTTCTGCTTGGTTTAACCAAGGTGTAGGTAATAGAGAATTGTTCATGAGTATATTCAAGCAAGGATGTAAAGATATTTATTATCAAGAGTGGTCAGCTACTGTGAATACTTCCAAATATTTGCACACATATTCAATCTATAAACTTGATGTAATGCAGGAAACTTATCTATGAGTGTTACCTTCTGTTCATCTGCTTAGAGCACTGACGAAATTTCGATGTGGTATTGCTGGTTTTAGCATACAATTATATACAAGATCGAAAAGTGCAAATATCGCAATTGCCGTGTGCTTACATTGTCTTAATAAGTTAGAAAATGAATATCATTTACTACAAGAATGCCCATTATATAACGATGTACGAATCAAATATTTACCATGTTATCATTACACCTACCCAAATCTTCATGTTTATAACTCTTTTGAATTCAAAATCAATATATTATATTATTACGTTTAGCTGTGTATTGTACAAAAGTAATGCCTTCATATACAATTAATGTCCAGGCGCTCCGGACTCTGTACTATTATGGCCATTCATACAAATGAAATCTTCTGTCTTTAGATGCTCAGACATAGTTTTGTATGAAAATCAGTGTGTGTGGGTTTTTTTAAAACAGGCAATTATCACCATAAAATCAACATGGATTCCAATCATTTTGTCGCTTTTTATGAGTCAAAGGATCACACGGGTCAGAAAAACTCAAGTTTTTCCATCGTGGTCACCACGAGAAGTTTTCTGGACAGTGTTCATTCAGTCCATGAGATGCATGTATCAATATTCTTCACGCTTTTGTCAGTTGTATTCGACAAACTACTATTATTTGTTTTTTACTGATAAAGCAGTACACATTGACATGAATATATATATATATTTCTGATACATGAATGACAAAAACAGATATCGGGACTTTCAGGCCGCCTCAGTGAAGCCAGGGAAAGTCAGCGAAGGGTGAAACTCTGAAAATGATAAAGCTGCTTATCGCAATGTTCAGGAATATCCAAGCGGGGACACCGCAAACAGACATTGTACCCATGTGGGTGGGAAATCGAACCCGGAACTTCGAACTTTAACCACAAGGATATCCCATTGTCTTTTGCATAACGTGTGTTGAGAATATTTCACGATCATATGAAAGAATGGAAGGCTATTCTTGGTACATCGTCAAATATCGACTTCTGTTTGCCGGCTCTTTTAACTTTTGAACATGTTCACATAAAGTGTTCAGTGTATATAAGAAGGCCACATGTTCTACCCATCCAGCTCAGCCATTCAGTCTCACGCATATCAAATACCAGAGTCGCTCTACTCAGCTCATGAATAATGCATATTATCTATATAGATAGGCAAAATTAAAGCATCGCAGAACAGGACATTTTGAGCTTTTTACATCATTAAAATATTCTAAATGTTACCGTGATGTGTAGATAATGAACAAGCTAAATTGTTAATGAGCATAAAAACAGTGCGAGCAGTGGGACACACTGAAAACTAACAAGAGGTATATTTAATACGTGTGACCAGAAATATTAATCTGTTGTGAGAGACGATAGTTTGTTGTTTAAAGCTTGAATCAGCAATATTCCAGCTGTATGGCAGCGGTCGGTAAATAGGCCAATCTGGACCAGACAATCATGTGAGTGAGTTTAGTTTTACGCCGCACTCAGCAATATTCCAGCTGTATGGCAGCGGTCGGTAAATAGGCCAATCTGGACCAGACAATCATGTGAGTGAGTTTAGTTTTACGCCGCACTCAGCAATATTCCAGCTGTATGGCAGCGGTCGGTAAATAGGCCAATCTCGACCAGACAATCATGTGAGTGAGTTTAGTTTTACGCCGCACTCAGCAATGTTCCAGCTATATGGTGGCGGTCTGTAAATAATCGAGTCTGGACCAGACAATCGGGTGGTCAACATGAGGATCGATCTACCCAATAGAGATACCATGACATGTGTCAACCAAGTCAGTGAGGCTGACCACCCGTTCCCGTTAGTCGCTCCTTACAACAAGCGATTGACGATAGAGTTCTTATAAAAAGAATATAGTAAATACTCGCATATGAACAGATGCAAAGATAGAGTCGTACCTATTATTATCAGCATATGTAGTGTCACATAGTTACAACAGACTCCGGTGGTTATGTTTTTTAAAAGGTGTTTAACAGCATTCTCATGCAAAAGACATTTGTCACAAATTAAGCTTAATAGACCGTGTAAAAACTAACACAATATCGACCTTAGAGTCAAGTCCCTCTCCCACTACATGGGGTGTTTAATGCATTAAATATGAAGGTTTGTTGATTTCCCCTGATGTAGTCCCTGAAACTCACACACTACCAGGACGTAAACGTTTCGTATGGGAGATGAATACAGTTACCAAAATAGACGGTCGTGTCTCATATCGTCACCAACATGTTAGTTACAGTTTTAAGTTGGATATACATGTATGAGTCACTAATCCACGTTTAAAACAAGACTGGAGGGTATCCAAGGTTTATATCTCGACCTATGAGTGAGTATGGTTTTACGCCGCTTTTGGCAATATTCCTGCAATATCACGGCGGGGGACACCAGAAATGGGCATCACACATTGTGCCCATGTGGGGAATCGAACCCAGGTCTTCAGCGTGACGAGCGAATGCTTTAACCACTTGGCTACCCCACCGCCTCTCTCGACCAATGACAGGAGCGAATAAGGCAGGACTTATTACCGTTTACAGTGCAGATATTTTGGAAGATAGCGACACAGTGCGCCCATGTGAGAGTAATCTTGATACATTACAACACTCTGGAAAATTCCATGAAACAAACTTACCCGGCCAGTTGAGTCACAAACAATACAATACGAATGTTCTACATGGTTTATTTCATATTCGAGTGTAGATAGCACCTCATGGTGATCACAGTGACTATACAACTGCTATGTACAGTGAGAGTAGAGACAGACAGACAGACAGACAGACGTATATACAGGAATTCCACTCGGGTCAAACAAACAATCTATCGCAAACTGCACACATATTCCTTGCAGCATTGGTAAAAACCGTTGAAAGAATTGCCAAGATTGGTAACATTCTAAAAATGAGGACAAATGTCAGTAACAATTCCTACAGTACATGAGAATAGTCCTACAGTACTATATATGAATGATGTATTTATATGTGCTTTTGCAATATATATATATATATGCATATGCATTTAGTCCTACATAGGGAACTTGTTTCTCCTCAACCATAAGGGAAGCTACACGGTCTGAATACTACAAGATACATGCATTTATGGTTCTGAGTTAAATAATGGTAGAATATCTGGCATTACTGTTTTCCTGGAAATCGGGCATTTCATGGGTGTAACATGTAAGCAAAACATAGTTTGGTAAAACTATTAGGTCGCTAAAATGTTTATTGTACCAGTAATATGACAAGAGTGAGTGAGTGAGTGAGTGAGTGAGTGAGTGAGAGAGTGAGTGAGAGTGAGTGTGGTTTTACACCGTTTTTAGCAATATTCCAGCAACATGACGGCGGGGGGACACCAGAAATGGGCTTCAAGCATTGTACCCATGTGGGGAATAATATGACAAGAACAAAAGACATTTCACCTGAGAAGCTGAAAAGCAGCTTGTATTTTCCTTGGAACATGGCATCTATAATCCCTTCAATATTTCATTTGAATTGGTTTAAAAAGACAATAAGAAATTGACCATATCAGCTCTTTGAACTGACACATTTCAGAATGCTATGTGTAAAATGACCCACCAAGCTCCTTACACGCATGTGGTCTCTGTGATGTAGTTCTCCCTGAAAGGCCAGTTAGTCACCTCAACAAATAAACATAACATACACCCACAACAAAAGTGTCAGCTGGAAACAAGCTTATCACTGTAGACAAATGTCAACCAGTTGTCAACCCATTACCTGACACAAAATGTATATGATAAGAAAGATACATGGATTTGTTTTGCCACCCTGGTGATAAGCATAAACTTTGGTTGTGCAGACAAGTGGTTCCTCAATAGTGAGGGTGAGGCTTCTGCAGCCTGCCAATACAGCTGTAGTCTACTGTATGGGAGGGAGTTACCTAGCAGTGGGGGGCAACTGGATGACATACATTAATCATTCTCCAACATGATATACATCTTTCCATAATACGCGGGAATTAAAATATTATAAGACCTACTTAGGTAAAGTTAAACTAGGGCTGAAGGCCGTGTATGCACTGTACCATGCAGCTGATAACCAAACTGGCATCATAAAATTGTAATCCTGTGTTACATTTGACTGGTCAGGGATCCAGATAGCATTTTCAGTTTGTCAAACTTGAAGTTTCGTGGTATAGCTTGTATCAATCCACTTAAACGAAACGCTCCTGTTTCATATCCGAGTTATCTCATTCATACAGACTATAAGAGAAACTCACCGCGAGATATGTTCAATACAAGAAACACATGGAATCATCAGACAAATTTGGTAATGCTTGTGAGCCTTATGTTCATTCTGTTATGAGAAATTAAAAAATGACTCAATTGCTTTTGGGAAATTTTCAAGATAGGTTTAAGTAAAATCTCCAGTGGAAATTTTACTTGAAGCCACACACTGGGCAATCTTCTGGTAGTGTGTAGAGGTTAAGGAAACAGCTTGGTCAATCATAAATTATATTAAATGTTTCAACTAACAACATACATTAGTTGACCTTCTACAGTGGAGACTGACGATGATGAGGTTTCTAATCTGCTGAGAACAGTATGTGCCCATTGTCACATATGTGTCAGTGACAATCGTATCTGTGTATACCTTCCATTAAAATATAGGGATAAAATGGGCAGATCACAATATGCCCAGCTAAAATAACAGAATCTAAAACAGTCTTATAAACAGGATAAATACAGCCAATAAAACATCAGATTAAAATGACTGACACACTGAACACGACAAGGACATGAATTTAGCTCTGTAACATGAGCAAGTCCCTTCCACAGACATATATGTACATCACTAACAATATGTGGACACAATGCCATCTCCGCTCTAAGACCAACTCAGGTAGAGTGTGTGAGAGTGAGTCTTGCAGTGTATATAGTCTGCAATCATCACTATGGCATCTAGGGTTACATGTGTTAATACAGGGCAGTATTAGAGAATAACATGTACACAAAATACAAATCTGTTGTTTCCATCTCCCTTGTTTCAGACACGCCACTTGATTTACACCTGAGGCCATCAGCTGGTTGATTCAGGTGACAACCCACAGGTGTGCTAAACAGGTTCAACTGTTACACATCTGGGGTGACTACAAAGGATCCAATTCGTATTAGAATAAAACTTAACAAACCCTAGTAAGCTGCCACTATGTGATGTTTGCAAACCATGGTTGAGTCTGTAACACTGTGTTCTCCAGACAAACCTCCTCAGCACATCACTAACATTGTAGGCCCGCATTGTCTTACAGATAAAATACCCGACTTATCACCAACTAAGAGAGACAAATCTTCTCTTCTCTCAACATCATGGCACTGATTGAGATTATTTTTCTAAAATAGCACACATTTACAGTTTAGCCAAATCTATAGTACACCACCATCACATTAGGATGGGTGCAGTTTCAAATGAAGCACTCTTAAAATATACATAGTATACATGCTGCATTTTCTGTGGATCTTGAGAACTTGCACAACCTGTAAATGAAGATAGAAAAGAGATTAGATAGAAGTCTTCCGTATCAAACAATAATACCAACAGGGTTTTCCAGATCTGTGTTAGTTTAACTGACATACCTCAAATATCTTATGTCAAACATAAATTTCTCTAAATTCTGATTTCATCAACAGAGTATAACATGGAATACATTTCTACATTCTAAAAACATGACTGTGATTGGCTAAAACACTTAGTGAAAGTGAGTGAGTGAGTGCAGTTATACTGGTTACATCAGACATCATGGACAAGGCAGGACTCCACAAGAAAACACTATGTATCTTGTCTAAACTGAACTGTATATGTTAACTTGTTCTTGCAGTATCGATGTGGAGTATTTTGCTTATGCAGTTTGTTCTGTAAGGTGTGTCATACAAAAGCACATAAATCTCAACTGTTCAACACCAGACAGAGAGATTCACAAGGTGGAACTACGTACAGTCAAACACTGGCGTCAAAGTCGAAGGGATCTATATAAATACCTCGAGATATCCAAGGTTCAATACAACAGCAGAATGACAACTAAATAAGGAATACTTGGGGACCTACTTTTCACTTTGAGGCAACAATAGGCCTCACAAACAAAGTTTGACACAAGAGCGTTTGACAGTATATACCGTATATAGACTGATAGAAAATGTAATATTATCAGTTACCTTATCACAGCTTAGCTGATGTGAGAATATCTACAGTTCAGTTACCTTATCACAGCTTAGCCGATGTAAGAATATCTTCACAGAGTTTCTTGTAATGCCAGACATCACCCTTGACTCGCTTGCGACACACTCCAATATATGGTGACTTGGGCATGGCACACACCTCCATGTCAAAGGCTAGTCTGACTCGACCCCAGTCATCCATCACAGTACACCGCAGGGCATAGCTGCAATACACACAAACCACATTGTACAGGCTGCAGACACTTATGTCAACACTACAAAATAACTAGTAATACGTACATAGCTCCAATACACACAAACCACATTGTACAGGCTGCAGACACTTACGTCAACACTACAAAATAACTAGTAATACATACAGGCTAACTGCCACATACACCTTAAGCAACCCACTGCTACACGATGTACATTCATTACCATTCTTCAGTACAATGTATTGTGATGTCGGAATGGCACTTCAACATCTCCACTTGAAATGAGGTAAAAATGTCACATTCAAGATGTGTGGCTGCTTGTACTAGTACTACCTCATTCAGACATATTATACTGTCTTACAGAGGCCAGTCTTTGTTTTATCCCCTTAATGTGGAATACCAGGCAGGGTGACAAGTAAAATCATTTGTATTAAGGTATGATAAGTGGTGGGGATTACAAACACTGCCTTCCACTCTCCAGGCAGATGCTCTATGTGGTGGAGGTCTTTATTGTTAAACCTGGTAGTGTGTAACTGTATGAGACTCCCAACATCACTGATATAGAGTTTTGTGTACAAGAAGTAGGAATCTACAGAAGAATATGGGACTGACTCGCTCTGCTTGTAGGGAATGCACTTCTCCTCTATGATGGCTCTTAGTCTCTTCAGCACGTAGTCGGGGTTGAACTGACATGTTCGGAACACGTTGTGGAGTGCCTGCACCAATTGAACACAATGATAAGTCAGGGGAAGTACTCCTAATGGATGATCTTGCACTCAACATTACAGATATCAAGTCCTATCTGACACAGGTGCTGGCCACTTGTAACACTTTGTTTATTTAGTAGACTTGGGCCAGAGTGGATGGGTTACATTTCAGAGTTTTAAAATCTCTTTGTGGATACAGCTGTGCAATTACCTTTCACTCTATTAATAGAACTGACATCACATTTCTTAGCATGAAAACACTACATTATCCTCCCTTTTTGTAAGGAAATTGAGATAAGATGTGATACCTTCACTTTCCTGGGTCCATCTGAAGTACTGCCTCGCTGTTTCTTTGGAGTGAGCATGTTAAACACCTTCTCTAGACTGCCAAACATGGATTTCTTGGACTTGTGTGCGCTGCTGGGGGTTGTCATGCCAGCCTTATATAGTCCTTCGTCCACCGATGCAGCTCTGGGGGAACAGAGGGGAGAGTCATCAGGGGATAGGCATGGAGCAGTAGTTGTCTCCCCTGTTACATCAAGATACCATCATAAAACTTTATACAGAAGTTTATAACAAATTTCAGATAATTTTCACTTGACAGCTGGCTGCTGAGAGAATCATGAGTTAGGGAACCTTGGAAAGTTTGTGTACTGAGTACATGACGTAGGGGCCATGCTGCACTCACTTCTTGGATGCACTGATTGGCGTGTGTATCTCTGCGTCAGCTGTTATGTTGTTCAGTTGGGAATCGTAGGACCGGGAAGGGGACAGCGTTGTGTTCAAATAGGAGTTGTCAACAGGCTTGAGTGGTGTACACACTGGAGACAGACAGGTACATCAACAACGGGAAGCATGCACCTATTACAAATCTTGAAACACGATCAACCATGCCAAACAGGGAACGTTACAGTACATGGGAGAGAATAATGGTTGCCAGAAAAAACTCACTGACACACTTTATGAATTGATAACATTTAATGATTAAAAAAATAGATTTAAAGAACCCATTAAAAGAAAAAGATCATTTCAAACATTTTATTGAGATAATTAATATTTACTATTCATTAAGGCGGTACTTCCAGCATTTATAACTTGAAAACTGCTATTTGGATAAAAACAAACATGTATATTTAATGTTAATGTAAAACTAACAGGACAGGTTGTCGTAATATCATATCTATTCTTGTCTTATTTTTCTATAATGAAAACTGTGAAAACAAATAGAATATTTTCAAATATCCTACTAGGGCAGAGGAGAAATTGCAGACAGCTGAGAAACAAAAGTTTTCTAATGTTTATCAAGTTATTGGATGGATAAGAACCAAGAAAGTGTGACAGTTCAAAGAAAGCAAGGTATTTAAAGCTTAATGGCTGTGTAATGATACATGACAACATGCAGCTCTATATATGATGTACATGCATCAATTGGCAGTCACTGGGTGCAGCTGGTCAACACTAGGAGAGACAAATATACAAGTCCAGAACTTGTCATCTGTTTCAGCACCATCAATGTTTCAGTACAGTAAATGAAAACGCTCTATGCACAGAACATTCTTTCGTCGAAAGGTATACTTGGCATCTGTCCTTCATAACATTTACAACAGTCGGATCGGACTGGCTGAGATCAGATGCTTTCATGAAAAACGTGATAATTACTTCACAATATAGCAGCTTTTAACATGAAAGGTTTGTATTAATTATGCACGTAAGCGAAACTACACACAAGCAGGCCATGTTGGTGTTAAGCAGGTTACAAGCAGTGATAGAATGTGACATGCTCGCTACATAGTGACAGAATGCACCACAGATGACCACCAATTGATAAATACCTTTAAACAGAGCAGCACAGTCATAATGATGTTTCTTCTGATTGGGTGGAGCTGATTTAGGTGCTGTCATAAGCAGTGGCTCCTTGGAGCCTGCTAGGGGCGACTTACTACTGTCATCCAAAGACGCTATGTGCAACTGTTTGGACATGAGGGGAGACCTCGGCTTGGCTGCAACATTCTTTAACACAGCATTTGCAGTCGGAGTCTTCTGGGGTTTGACTCGAGGAGAGTTCGGAATTTGAGGGATAAGGAAGTTTTCTTTGTCTTCTTTATCACCACTGTCAGAAAATGGGAGCCTCTCTCGGGCCCGCCCTCTGACCCTTTCTTTGGCTTGTTGTTGACAGTTGTATGCATTTTGTCTGTGTTCTTCTGTTTTCTCCTTCGGGGTGATGATGAAAGGAGAGTGGTTGACGTCACTCTCATCCTCAGAGCTGTATGAGTAAGCCTGGAGCAAGGGGGATATATATCACTGTACATCATAGACGATTACTATCACGATGGTATGACACACAGTTTCATGGCAATCATGTACACATCTGTTTTCATGTCCTGATATATGAATGTTATTTAAATAGCATGTATAATGTGGTACATTTGCTTTCTGTTGCTTGATAAGGATGACTTGCATGTCAGAACCTGGGAAAGTCAAACCAATTCTTTGGTCCCCAAGTATTGTGAGACAACAGGGTTTCAATGTTTGTAGTTTTGTACATGTTCATGTAATGGTGTTCAAACTAATTGGGTAACATGAAATAAGCTCAAGCAATGTCTTCCTAAAGGTTTCTCCCATGCCTATAGTATCATACATTTGTATACTCTGTGCCACATGAATACTGTTGCCAAGCATGGCTTATCTAAAATAAGAACACATAAATACACTAACTAGAAAATTTTGTTTTGAAATTGACTTTGTAGGTTATTTCCTGATAGCAGTTTAACTGAATGTACCTTGGGAGTCTCCAGTCATCCTGCAGTGAGGTCACGAAACCTGTTGTACTTTATCCTTACTTACAAGATACATATATTTTGAAACAAAGCATATATGCAAGCCTATTTCCCTTCCACTGTACAATCACTAAGTTTGTCACTATTGTTTGTATGCAGCTACAAAGAAACGCCATGAGATGATGTAAATGTCTCCAGTAGGTTACGACACAGCCTGGGGTTGCTCACCCCATACTACTAACATGGTGGCACTCCTGTGTCACACAATGCCATACAGTTAGCATGTTCCCTCCTTGCTGCCCCTTGATGGCTGGGATACATGTGGCACTGGTGAAGTGGGTTAGGGCACTGGGCATCTAACATGGTTGAAGTCATGAATATTTTGTCACTCACAGGGTAACTGTCAAAATTTTCATCACCTTCAACTAAATTCTGTAATTTTTAATAACCATTTCTACGGCTTATGATTTTTATGCCTCCCAGAAGTTTCTACCTGTAAACAGCAGTAATATTAACTCAACAGTTTAAGCCCTGTTAAACACTATGGGCAAGACTACCTTTTTAGGTGCAGGTGTGGTGGTGGAGATGGTGGGCTTCTGGAGCAGTCGGACTGGACGGCCGCGCATCTTCTTCTCAAGCAACAGGAAGTAGGTTGCTGTCAAGTAGTCGTACTTCCACTGCCAAGCACAACACACAAGGAAGTACTTTAGTGAAGCGTCTCCTTACACTGTAAGAGCATAAATACATATCAACCTGATCTCCACATTCATTTTAGCACTACCATCCAATACAGACTAGAATGTATTACAATGCCATCGTATAACTGGTCTGTTGTTTGACACCACACTCAGCAACTGTCCAGCTATATAACAGGGGGGTGGAAATACTTGCATCTTGACCAGTCAATCTAGTGATTGACACCATCAGTCCATGGGATACAATGACATGCATCACCCAAGCCAGAGAAGGTGTCTTATGACATGCATTAGTTGCTGAAAACAAACCAATGTTACCGGTAACTGGATAAAATGGGGAGGCCAATCTACGGGTGTGTCTAGGGTGGGGGGGAGGGGGAGGCCAATGTATTGGTTGGTCCAGGTGAGTCAAGAGGAGGCCAATGTATTGGTGAGTCAAGACGTCAATGTATTGGTGGGTCCAGAGGAGGCCAATGTATTGGTGGATCCAGGTGGGTCAAGAGGAGGCCAATGTATTGGTGGGTCCAGGTGGGTCAAGAGGTCAATGCATTGGTTGGTCCAAGTGGGTCAAGAGGTCAATGTATTGGTGGGTCCAGGTGGGTCAAGAGGAGGTCAATGCATTGGTGGGTCCAGGTGGGTCAAGAGGTCAATGTATTGGTGGGTCAAGAGGTCAATGTATTGGTTGGTCCAGGTGGGTCAAGAGGAGGTTAATGTATTGGTGGGTCAAGAGGAGGTCAATGAATTGGTGGGTCCAGGTGGGTCAAGAGGTCAATGTATTGGTGAGTCAAGAGGTCATTGTATTGGTGGATCAAGAGGAGGCCAATGTATTGGTGGGTCCAGGTGGGTCAAGAGGTCAATGCATTGGTTGGTCCAAGTGGGTCAAGAGGTCAATGCATTGGTGGGTCCAGGTGGGTCAAGAGGTCAATGCATTGGTGGGTCCAGGTGGGTCAAGAGGTCAATGTATTGGTTAGTCCAGGTGGGTCAAGAGGAGGTTAATGTATTGGTGGGTCAAGAGGAGGTCAATGAATTGGTGGGTCCAGGTGGGTCAAGAGGCCAATGTATTGGTGGGTCCAGGTGGGTCAAGAGGTCAATGCATTGGTTGGTCCAAGTGGGTCAAGAGGTCAATGTATTGGTGGGTCCAGGTGGGTCAAGAGGAGGTCAATGCATTGGTGGGTCCAGGTGGGTCAAGAGGTCAATGTATTGGTGGGTCAAGAGGTCAATGTATTGGTTGGTCCAGGTGGGTCAAGAGGAGGTTAATGTATTGGTGGGTCAAGAGGAGGTCAATGAATTGGTGGGTCCAGGTGGGTCAAGAGGTCAATGTATTGGTGAGTCAAGAGGTCATTGTATTGGTGGATCAAGAGGAGGCCAATGTATTGGTGGGTCCAGGTGGGTCAAGAGGTCAATGCATTGGTTGGTCCAAGTGGGTCAAGAGGTCAATGCATTGGTGGGTCCAGGTGGGTCAAGAGGTCAATGCATTGGTGGGTCCTTGTGGGTCAAGAGGTCAATGTATTGGTTGGTCCAGGTGGGTCAAGAGGAGGTTAATGTATTGGTGGGTCAAGAGGAGGTCAATGAATTGGTGGGTCCAGGTGGGTCAAGAGGTCAATGTATTGGTGTCTCCAGGTGGGTCAAGAGGAGGTCAATGTATTGGTGAGTCAAGAGGTCATTGTATTGGTGGATCAAGAAGAGGTCAATGTATTGGTGGGTCCAGGTCAATGTATTGGTGAGTCAAGAGGTCATTGTATTGGTGGATCAAGAGGAGGTCAATGTATTGGTGGGTCCAGGTGGGTCAAGAGGTCAATGTATTGGTGGGTCCAGGTGGGTCAAGAGGTCAATGTATTGGTGGGTCCAGGTGGGTCAAGAGAGGTCAATGTATTGGTGAGTCAAGAGGTCATTGTATTGGTGGATCAAGAGGAGGTCAATGTATTGGTGGGTCCAGGTGGGTCAAGAGAGGTCAATGTATTGGTGAGTCAAGAGGTCATTGTATTGGTGGATCAAGAGGAGGTCAATGTATTGGTGGGTCCAGGTGGGTCAAGAGGTCAATGTATTGGTGGGTCCAGGTGGGTCAAGAGGAGGTCAATGTATTGGTGAGTCAAGAGGTCATTGCATTGGTGTATCAAGAGGAGGTCAATGTATTGGTGGGTCCAGGTGAGTCAAGGAGGTCAATGTATTGGTGAGTCAAGAGGTCATTGTATTGGTGGATCAAGAGGAGGTTAATGTATTGGTGGGTCCAGGTGGGTCAAGAGGTCAATGCATTGGTTGGTCCAAGTGGGTCAAGAGGTCAATGTATTGGTGGGTCCAGGTGGGTCAAGAGGTCAATGTATTGGTGGGTCCAGGTGGAGTCAAGAGGAGGTCAATGTATTGGTGAGTCAAGAGGAGGTCAATGTATTGGTGGATCAAGGTGGGTCCAGGTGGGTCAAGAGGCCAATGTATTGGTGGGTCCAGGTGGGTCAAGAGGAGTCAATGTATTGGTGGGTCCAGGTCAAGAGGTCAATGTATTGGAGGAGGTCCAATGTATTGGTGGGTCCAGGTGGGTCAAAGAGGTCAATGTATTGGTGGAGTCAGGTCAGAGAGGAGTCAATGTATTGGTAGGTGGAGTCCAGAGGAGTCCAATGTATTGGTGGGTCCAGGAGTCAAAGAGGAGTCCAATGTCCATTGGATATTGTGGGTCAAAAAGAGGTCAATGTATTGGTGGGTCAAGTGGGTCAAAGAAGGTCCAATGTATTGGTGGGTCCAGAAGTGGGTCAAAGAGGTCAATGTATTGGTTGGTCCAGAGTGGGTCAAGAGGTCCAATGTATTGGTGGGTCCAAGAGTGAGCCGGAGGTCAAGGCTGGTCAATACATTGGACAAGTTCCAGGTGGGTCAAGAGAGTCAATGTATTGGTGGTCCAGGTGGGTCAGAGAGTCCAATGTAGTTAGTCCAGGTGGAGTCCAAGGAGTCAATGGTGGAGGTATTGGTGGGGGTCAAGTGGGTCAGAGGTCAATGTATTGGTGGAGTCCCACAGTCCAAGTGGAGTCAAGAGAGAGTCCCAATGTATTGGTGGAGTCCAGAGTAGGTCAAAGGAGTCAATGTATTGGTGGGTCCAGGTGAGGTCCAAAGATTGAGTGAGTCCAATGTATTGGTGAGAAGTCCAGGTAAGGTCCAAGGAGTCCAATGTATTGGTGGGTCCAGGTCAGGTCCAAGAAGGTCAATTGGTTGGTCCAATGTATTGGTGGAGTCCAAAGAAGTCCAATGTATCCAAGAGAGGTCCAAGGTCCATTGGTGGTCCAAGAGGGTCCAGAGGTCAATGCATTGGTGGGTCCAAGTGGAGTCAAAGGAGGTCAATGTATTGGTGGGTCCAGGTGGAGTCAAGAGGTCATGTGCAATGTATTCAGGTGGGTCAAAGAGGAGGTCAATGTATTGGTGGGTCCAGGTGGGTCAAGAGGTCAATGTATTGGTGTCTCCAGGTGGGTCAGAGGGTCATGTATTGGAAGGTCAAAGGGGTCATTGTATTGGTGGATCAGGAGGTCAAGAAGGTCAATGTATTGGTGGGTCAAGGTGAGTCAAAGAGGTCAATGTATTGGTGGAGTCAAGGTCAATGTATTGGTGGGTCAAGAAGGAGGTCAAGGTGGGGTCATTGGTGGGTGGTGGAGTCAAGGAGGTCAATGTATTATTGGTCAAGTCAAGAAGGTCAATCATTGGTGGATCAAGAGGAGTCAAAGAGTCAATGTATTGGTGGGTCCAGGTGGGTCAAGAGGAGTCAATGTTGGTGGGTCCAGGTGGGTCCAAGAGCATTGGTGGTCCAAGGTAAGGTCAAGGTCCAATGTATTGGTGGATCAGAGGAGAGTCAATGTATTGGTGGGTCCAGAGTGAGGTCAAAAGAGAGGTCAATGTATTGGTGGAGTCCAGGTGGGTCAGGAGGTCAATGTATTGGTGGGTCAAGTGGAGTCCAAGTCAGGTCAATTGGTGGGTCCAGGTGGTTAGGTCCATGTGGTGGTCCAGGGAGTCAAGGAGGTCAATGTATTGGTGCAAGAGTGGTCCATTGGTGGAGGTCAGGTGAGTCATTGGTGGGTCAATGTATTGGTGAGGTCCAAGAGGTCAATGTATTGGTGGGTCCAGGTGGGTCAAGAGAGGGTGGTGGGTGTATTGGTGAGTCAAGAGAGGTCAATGTATTGGTGGATCAAGAGGAGAGTCAATGTATTGGTGGGTCCAGGTGGGTCAAGAGGTCAATGTATTGGTGGGTCCAGGTGGGTCAAAGAGGTCAATGTATTGGTGGTGGGTCAAGAGGTCATTGTATCCAGGTGGGTCAAGAAGAGGTCAATGTATTGGTGGGTCCAGGTGGGTCAAGAGAGGTCAATGTATGGGTGGTGGGTCCAGGTGGGTCAAAGAGGTCAATGTATTGGGTTGGTCCAGGTGGGTCAAAGAGTCAATGTATTGGTGGGTCAATGTCATTGGTGGGTCCAGGTGGGTCAAGGAGGTCAATGTATTGGTGGGTCCAGGTGGGTCAAAGGAGGTCAATGGATTGGTGGGTCAAGAGGAGGTCATTGGTGGGTCCAGGTGGGTCAAGAAAGAGGTCAATGTATTGGTGGGTGGGTCCAGGTGGGTCAAGAGGAGGTCAGAGGTCATTTGGTGGGTCAAGAAGAGGTCAATGTATTGGTGGGTCCAGGTGGGTCAAAAGAGGTCAATGTATTGGTGGGTCCAGGTGGGTCAAGAGGTCAATGTATTGGTGGGTCAAGAGGAGGTCAATGTATTGGTGGGTCCAGGTGGGTCAAGAGGTCAATGTATTGGTGGGTCCAGGTGGGTCAAGAGGAGGTTAATGTATTGGTGGGTCAAGAGGAGGTCAATGAATTGGTGGGTCCAGGTGGGTCAAGAGGTCAATGTATTGGTGGGTCCAGGTGGGTCAAGAGGTCAATGTATTGGTGGGTCAAGAGGAGGTCAATGTATTGGTGGGTCCAGGTGGGTCAAGAGGTCAATGTATTGGTGGGTCCAGAGGTCAATGTATTGGTGGTCAAGAGAGAGGAGAGTCCAATGTATTGGTGGGTCAAGAGGAGGTCAATGAATGTGGGTCCAAGTGGGTGGTGGGTCCAGGTGGGTCAAGAGGTCAATGTATTGGTGGGTCCAGGTGGGTCAAGAGGTCAATGTATTGGTGGATCAAGAAGAGAGTCAATGTATTGGTGGGTCCAGGTGGGTCAAGAGAGGTCAATGTATTGGGTCCAGAGTGGGTCAAGAAGAGTCAATGTATTGGTAGGTCCAATGTATTGGTGGGTCCAAGAGGAGGTCAATGTATTGGTGAGTGGAGTCAAGAGGTCAATGTATTGGTGGGTCCAGGTGGGTCAAGAGGTCAATGTATTGGGTGGAGTCAAGTGGGAAGAGGTCAATGTATTGGTGGGTCCAGGTGGGTCAAAGATTGGTCAATGGGCAGTGGTGGGTCAATGTATTAGTGGGTCAAGAGGTCAATGTATTGGTGGGTCCAGAGTGGGTCAAAGGAGGTCCAATGTATTGGTGGGTCCAGGTGGGTCAAAGGAGGTCAGTGGGTCAAGTAGGTTGGTGGGTCAAGAGAGGTCAATGTATTGGTGGGTCCAGGTGGGTCAAGAGGAGGTCAATGTATTGGTAGGTCCAGAGTGGGTCAGAGGAGTCCAATGGGTCCAAAGAGGTCAATGTATTGGTGGGTCAAGAGGAGGTCAATGTATTGGTGGGTCCAGGTGGGTCAAGAGGTCAATGTATTGGTGGGTCCCAGGTGGGTCAAGAGGTCAATGTATTGGTGGGTCAAGAGGAGGTCAATGTATTGGTGGGTCCAGGAGGTCAAGAGTCAATGTATTGGTGGGTCCAGGTGGGTCAAGAGGTGAGGCCAATGTATGGTGGGTCCAGGTGGGTCAAGAGGAGGTCAATGTATTGGTGGAGTCAAGAGGAGGTCAATGAGAGTCAATTGGTGGGTCCAGGTGGGTCAAGAGGTCAATGTATTGGTGGGTCCAGAGTGGAGTCAAGAGGAGGTCAATGTATTGGTGGGTCAAGAGGAGGTCAATGTATTGGTGGGTCCAGGTGGGTCAAGAGGTCAATGTATTGGTGGATCAAGGTCCATGGTGGTTGGTCAAGAGGAGTCAAGAGAGTCCAATGTATTGGTGGGTCAAGAGGAGGTCAATGTATTGGTGGGTCCAGGTGGGTCAAGAGAGGTCAATGTATTGGTCAAGAAGGAGTCAATGTAGTCAAGAGGTCAATGTATTGGTGGGTCAAGAAAAGGAGGTCAATGTATTGGTTCCAGGTGGGTCAAGAGGTCAATATTGGTGGGTCCAGGTAGAGTCCAATGTATTGGTGGGTCAAGAGGAGGTCAATGTATTGGTGGTCCAGGTGGGTCAAGAGAGGTCAATGTATTTGGTCAAGGGTCCATGGTGGGTCCAGGTGGGTCAAAAGAAGTCCAATGTATTGGTGGGTCCAGGTGGGTCAAGAGGTCATGTATTGTAGGTCAGAGAGTAATTGGTGGGTCAAGGTGGGTCAAAGAGTCAATGTATTGGTGGGTCCAGGTGGGTCAAGAAGAGGTCAATGTATTATCCAGGGTCAAGGTGGGTCCAGGTGGGTCAAGAGGAGGTCAATGTATTAATGGTCCAGGTAGGTCAGGTGGAGTCCAGGAGAATTGGAGGTCAAAGGTCAATTGGTGGGTCCAGGTGGGTCAAAGAGGTCAATGTATTGGTGAGGTCAAAGGAGGTCAATGTATTGGTGGGTCCTTGTGGGTCAAGAGGTCAATGTATTGGTGGGTCCAGGTGGGTCAAGAGGAGGTTAATGTATTGGTGGGTCAAGAGGAGGTCAATGAATTGGTGGGTCCAGGTGGGTCAAGAGGAGGTCAATGTATTGGTGAATCAAGAGGTCATTGTATTGGTGGATCAAGAGGAGGTCAATGTATTGGTGGGTCCATTGGGGTGGGTCAAGAGGAGGCCAATGTATTGAGTGAGTCAAAAGTCATTGTAGGTGGGTCAAGAGGAGGCCAATGTATTGGTGGGTCAAGAGGTGGGTCAATGTATTGGTGGAGTCAAGAGGTCATTGTATTGGTGGATCAAGAGGAGGTCAATGAATTGGTGGGTCCAGGTTGGTCAAGAGGTCAATGTATTGGTGGGTCCAGGTGGGTCAAGAGGAGGTCAATGTATTGATGGGTCAAGAGGAGGTCAATGAATTGGTGGGTCCAGGTGGGTCAAGAGGTCAATGTATTGGTGGGTCCAGGTGGGTCAAGAGGAGGTCAATGCATTGGTGGGTCCAGGTGGGTCAAGAGGAGGTCAATGTATTGATGGGAAAAAATTAAATTATACTATTTGTATCCTTTGACTTGACTAGAAATATCTATTTTAGACTTTGTCATCCCAAATTAACATTTTTCCTTCATTGTTAGTTGTGTAATTTCATGAGGGTCAAACATGCTACCGTGATGTATAACAAAACATCTGGCCAGGGGTCAATACGACACTGGAGGTAAGAGAGGTCTCACCTGTAACACCTGTGTCTCCATCTCCACCTTACACTTCCCATAGTGCACAGCTAGTTCTGTTATACAGTCATCATCCAATGTGCGCTGAGGAATCAAAAAGTTTCTAATGATAAAATGAAATGCAAAAACAGGCAAGAGTATTCAATATATTTTGGAAATTCTTGGATGTCAATAAATCAACAATAATTAATAACCTACCTAGTCATGCGTAGAGATTAGAACAGATCCTTCTTGGTGAACATAAACAACATATTACCTCATTCCTCATACTGAACCAGTGGCCAACAAGCTGGCAATGATATCCTTTGTGTGGATGCCAACCTTGTACTTGGTGTTCCACCGCACAGGGATGAGGCCTACCTTGTACTTGGTGTTCCACTCCACGGAGTTGAGGCCTACCTTGTATTTGGTGTTCCACCGCACAGGGATGAGGCCTACCTTGTACTTGGTGTTCCACTCCACAGGGATGAGGCCTACCTTGTACTTGGTGTTCCACTCCACAGAGATGAGGCCTACCTTGTACTTGGTGTTCCACCGCACAGGGATGAGGCCTACCTTGTACTTGGTGTTCCACTCCACGGAGTTGAGGCCTACCTTGTATTTGGTGTTCTACTCCACAGAGATGAGGCCTACCTTGTACTTGGTGTTCCACTCCACGGAGTTGAGGCCTACCTTGTACTTGGTGTTCCACTCCACGGAGTTGAGGCCTACCTTGTAGTTCGTGTTCCACTCAACAGGGATGTTGAAGCCTACCTTTTACTTGGTGTTCCACTCCATGGGGATGTTGAAGCCTACCTTGTACTTGGTGTTCCACTCCACAGGGATGTTGAAGCCTACCTTGTACTTGGTGTTCCACTCCACAGGGATGTTGAAGCCTACCTTTTACTTGGTGTTCCACTCCACAGGGATGTTGAAGCCTACCTTGTACTTGGTGTTCCACTCCACAGGGATGTTGAAGCCTACCTTTTACTTGGTGTTCCACTCCACAGGGATGTTGAAGCCTACCTTGTACTTAGTGTTCCACTCCACAGGGATGTTGAAGCCCTTGGTCATCCAGGGGTGATGTAGGAGCTGCTGCACGGTGATGCGCCTCTTGGGGTCCACGCGCAGCATCTGGCTGATGAGGTCCGCAGAGTCCAAGGTTAGCCAGTCAGGTACATCATACTTGCCGCTCTGTTTGCAGCAAGACAGCACACATCTTGTGAACATCTAATATAGTTTGTTTTTTTATACAAAACTGTAAGCTATTTTACTGATAACTGATACGATTTTACATTTGGTTCTGTTTATGACTGCCATGCACGTTGAGACAATAGAATAGAGAAGAGGATTCATACACATTTTAAGGATCCAAAAACAATTTTAAAAAATACCACTTGTCAAGCATCCCAAAACAATAATTTCATTTACCAGAAGATAAGACAAGCAAGGAAATTAATCTGACTTCAAGTCTGACATAAGTTACACAAACTTACTTTCCAACAAAGGTCAAAGTGCATTATTTCTAACCAGTGACATGTTAGCCATTTGCAATGTGTTCAGTAAAAGATGCATTTCTACTGAAAACATATAAGACCTAAAGACATGCCTACTTTTTCGTTGTTGGACCTCATTCAAATCCCTCATTCTGCTTACAGTATCACACCAAATAGTATTCACAATGACTATGCTTGATAGAAACACACTTGTAACATTTCTGAATCTCAAAAATGACAGCAAAATTAAATGATTATTTCAGTAAATATTTTGAGGGTGTGTTAATACAATTTAATTTGTTTTAAAGCACTTTGTTCCTGTGTTAAAGTTAAGTAATTAATATCAAACCGGGTTCAGGTCAAGTAATTTTCAAGTTTGTAGAACCATATCGGAATGCTGTACTACCTGTATTTTCCTGTACAGTGCAGGTATCTTGTCATCATCAAAGGGCAGGAAGCCACACAGCAGCGCATACAGCAGCACCCCCATACTCCACAAGTCAGCCTAGATATTACATTCACAGAGTCAGGTCATCGAACACTATTTTTTTTATTTCATTTATTTTATTTTTTAGTAAATCACCCCTGATGACCAGCAAAGGTGGCTGGAGACCAATACTGACCTGGAATCCCCAAAGGGTAGCACATTCATTACCTGAGCATGTTTATGATATCAGTCAACTTATATTAACACAGCATAGTGCAAATGTCCAATCATTTTAAACCAAACATATCTCTCCACAAGATCACCAACTAGAGTTACCTCCCATAGCCCTCACTTTTCATTGCTATGTAAATGCTACAGGAAACTTCAGACAGTGTGGGAGTAAGTTTAGTTTTACTCCAGTTTAGCAATATTCCAGCAAAATCATGGCGCGGAACACTAGCAATGGGATTCACACATTGTACCTATGTGGGAAATAAAAACTTGGTCTTTGGGGTGACGAGCGAACACTTTAACCACTAGGCTACTCACCGCCCCTCAAATTCAGACAGAGGAATGTCAGGTTGGCCTTGGAGTTGGGGTATCATAATATGTATACTTATTTCATAAATATTTGATCGAAATTATTTCTTATCCTGATACAGCATAGTGCAAAGCTTATCCCACAACTAAAAATTGTGACAAGTAGCACAGTGTTGGACATGCCCAGAGTTTGACATCTCTCCAAACTGACTGAGAAAGGAGTAGATCACTTCCACCAATATTTTCCTGATACCTGCAATGGGACGAGCTCTGGCCTGCAGAGGCACACTGCCCATAAACTGATACATTACATTCAGTAGGTGAACATCTTGCTGACATGAGGCAATTTGTTGTCTGTGGAGATCAGAACTCCGGAATAGATCAAATAGCATCTGCATCATTGACTTGCCAACTGCCAGAAATTCAAGATGTATCTCAGTACATCAGACTGACTGACTGAGTTTGGTTTTACGTCGCTTTTAGCAATATTCCAGCAACATCACGGCCGGGGACACCAGAAATGGGCTTCACACATTGTGCCCATGTGGGGATTCGAACCCGGGTCTTCGGCGTGACAAGCCAACGCTTTAAGCATTCGGCTACCCCACCGCCCCCAGTACATGAGAGATGACAGGAGTAATGCGTAGTAAACTGGACATGATGGGGCAACCAACAGTTGAAATATCTTGAGAGACCACAAGGAGATCACTGGTTGTGTGGAACTGTGTAGTGTGCAGGAGAATCAAGTATGACTTCTATAAAGAATAATGTCAATTTTTATGGCTATACAATTTCTTTTATTCTGTGATAGGCGACATTTCGACATAGAATCTAATGTTGTTGTCAAGAAAGTGACATTAGAATCTATTAAAAGAAGTTGTATATCCATAACAATTGTCATAATTCTTCATCACCGTAACTTCTAAAATGCCCATCAAAGAAGTATGATTTCCATAGTTTGACTAAGCATCACAACTTGAACAGAAGGTATCTAGTGAAGAAGTCGTGCCTTTGAAGAATCTGATGATCCTCTAGGTTCAGAAAACAATGACAGAAATGTAAGACCAAAAGCTCTTTCATACTTGGGAATATGCGTAAATAACTTCAGTACCAATAAGAAATTCCAAGTGGGAGGACCTGCCATCGATAACTTCTCTCTTTTATCAAAAACTGAGTTGGAGTTGATGTTCTAGATAAACTGGAACATGTGAGACATGTGAAAGGTAAAGCCACACACCTGGTACCATCTATTGTATGAGCCACTGATTTTGCTGACCTACCCTCCCAAGAAGAGAGGTGCAAATGATGTCTTAGAAGAAGTGAATGTGGTAAAGTCGGTGATGGAGTAGGTGCAGACTACACAAACAAGGTGACCTTACAAAGCAGGAAGTTAAACTCATTATCTTCCTCACACTCCTCTTGTGTCATATCAGTAGTCGCAACACCTTGGGTGAATACTTTGGTGCCTCTGGAGGGTGCCAAGCCATCAGGCACAGAAGCCACTACAGTCAATGAAGTGTATCCCCAACCATAAGGCATCACAACTAGCTGCAGATGCACTGGAGTCTGTGAGTAACAGGACTGAAATGCTGTGCTCCCAAAAGGGGAATATGATGTCAAAGTCAGCAGAAAGCTGAGGGCCATTGATGTTGTTCCTAGGGAAACAACAGTTGAAGGCAGGTGACCAGTTGATGGAACAAGTTTCTGTCACCAACATCCAACCAGTCACAAAGCATAATGACTAAAACAAAACTAGAGGCACTATTGTGTATGAAGCTTCAACAGCTGGGTTCTCCACCATGCTGCTAGACACTGTGGAAGGACAATGAAGGCTGGAGGGAAGGTAACTGGTGACATGCTGGACAGATACACTTTGGCCCTGTGGTAATGGATCAGAGAAAGGATATTTGAACTGATACATGCATCATTAACTATAAGTTATGTGAAATGGTAGACGAGTGAATTGTGAAACTCAATGAATGATAACAACAAATGTCTTTTGCATTGTTTAAAGGAACGTTAATTGATGACTGACCATGAGCTACATACCACAGATATACAACAAATGAAGTATTCTTACCCTCGGCACCAAGGTATTCCTTGCCAGAGATGAGTTCAGGCGCAGCATAGGCTGGGCTCCCACAACATGTGTACAAATGACGCTCCATCCCACCCTATGGAAATTTGGGAGAATATACAAAAATGTTGTAATACATTTCATCAAATTAATGCAACTACATGAAAGTATGTTCGCAAGAAGAAGTGCAGCTATTTTTTTTCAACTACTGGAAGTTCATAATGATGACTGAAGCACTCCTAAAATCTAATAAACTTCCATGTCAACTTGCCATGTTTGAATTTCACAACTACACTGAGAGTTTCTCTTGCCAGAAGCATCAACAATCAAACACAAGTCCCATGCATCTCCAGTTCTGTCATACCAACAGATAGCCAATTCATAAAATGTGTTATCACCAGTTCCAAACATGTGATTTGTATGTGACACAAATCTCTGAAATATCAGGCATCAAAATATGATTACAGACAGTTTGCAGTGAAAATGTACCGATGAATTTCACTTTAAACTAAAAAGTAAATCAAATAAAGAAAAATTAAGATTGCAAATCCTTAAAAGTTTACTTTGCCAATTGAACATTTAAAACTCAGAATTTTATTCAACTTAGGATAACAGTTGTTTAACAAATTATCATAGTTTCAAATCGCCATTATTACCTTTTTGTTTAACGTGAAAGTCATCAGTACGTCTTCATTGCAAAAAGACTATAGTGCCATTAAGATTACGGTGAATTACAATGTGACTACGAAAACCCTACCCCTCAATGATGATGAGATACCATATGGCAACACCAACTAACCTTAGGCTTAGCACACAGGCCAAAGTCAATCAGCTTTAAGTTTTGCTCCTCATCAAGCAGCAGGTTTTCCTAGTAAAGAAAATGACAGTAAAATATTAGTATGGCAAAGGTACCTATTTCACTATCATGTCATAGTGCACTTCAACCATCCATGATCAGATAACAATATCTTGAGAGCAATTTCGATTATCAACACCTGTATGTGACATTGATAGTCATAGCACAGTAGAGTACTGATAGTTTAGATAGACACATCAGCCATAATGCAAGAAAAATCATTTACCATTCAACAATATAGACCTTGTTGGAAATTTATACACACCAAACTATTGCATGGAAAGGATGGTTGTAACCCTTGAGATACAAACAACGTACAGGTTTGAGGTCCCGATGTGCATAGCCTTGGTAGTGGATGTAAGCCACAGCAGAGACTATCTGTCGGAAAAAGATGCGAGCCTCATCCTCATCCAGCCGGTCCTTGGACACGATGTAGTCAAACAGCTCTCCCTCTGGACAGTACTGGAACACATGGCAACCAGGCGTGCAACTCCAACAGCATGTTGAGATGTGGCTCTGCATATATACAGCCTAAATAGGTCTAATCAAGTTCACAAGGACACCCTGCTGATCATATCAAAAACATACTGCCGTGGTGATGTTGGAACACTGCCAGTTGGCATGGAGCAAATATTCTAATGTCGCCTCCCCTGGAACTCTCTCTATCCTACCTCCTCCTGTAGATCACACTTTACCCCACCCAAAGGAACACCTCCAAAACTTACATTCACTTACAAAAGCATTTAATTCAGGTCCTTGTGTAGGCAGCAAGGACCCAACTCCTCCTGCTATTTCAGCCAGGCAAAACAAATGACATTGGAAAGACAGAGGCCATTACTAAGGGCTGAACTCTGTTATCCAAAACAGCAGGTGTTCAGCACACTGCATTCTTGCCTAAACATGACATCCAACACATTCATAACACTCATGATGCAACAATACATGATTAATCTATTTCAGAAAGACAAACTGGTGTTTCAAGTTTCTATGACATACTGGAGTACATGTAATTTGTTCCCTGCGGAATGCTTTAAGTAACAGAAGCATTTCCATGATATCTTACATCAATTATTTGTGAAACAAATGTAAACATAATTGTAATTTCGGAAGAATTTGAGTAATATCAAAATAATAATGGCTGGCATCTCTGCTTCACCCAAGAAGATCTCTCTCCCCTCCTCGCTAAATTCTGTGCTACCTACCCCAAGGAATGCCTTCTACCTAACCCTCCCTGTAGATCCCATATCATCTACCCCAGGTTTCACCTCCACTCACAAACATGAGGTTCCTGGGGACCCCTAATTATTAGTTTTCAGGGTCCTTTCAGGCAATACGAGGGTCTTGTGAAGTAACGGCTTAGAGAACTGTATGTTTTGATCTTTTCTTTAGAGAATGAGGACTATTTTTATGGATATACAAATTCTTTATTCTGTATGGGCGACGTTTTGACTTAGATTCTAATGTTGTCAAGAAAGTATTCATTCTTCATCTATCCAACTTCTAGAATGCCAATCAAAGAAATTTCTTTAGAGCCTGGAATTATGTGAACTGATGGGTGAAATGATGCAGGTAACTGCTCTGAAAGAAACAACCAAACATTTAGCAAATTCATAGATGTTTTGTTGGTACAATGAATAATATTGTACGTCCCTCTGGACACAGTGAATGTTCTTTCTGCATCCATTCTCTACATTTGTGCATACTGGATGCACATTTCCGCGACACGTAAGACCCTGCTACCCCAAGGAATACCTTCTACCCAACCCTCCCTGTAGATACCATGTCACTTCCTACCCAACCCTCCCTGTAGATACCATGTCACTTTCTACCCAACCCTTCCTGTAGATACCATGTCACTTCCTACCCAACCCTTCCTGTAGATACCATACCACTTCCTACCCAACCCTTCCTGTAGATACCATGTCACTTCCTACCCAACCCTTCCTCAGGATACCAAACCACTTCCTACCCAACCCTCCCTGTAGATACCATGTCACTTCCTACCCAACCCTTCCTGTAGATACCATGTCACTTCCTACCCAACCCTTCCTGTAGATACCATACCACTTCCTACCCAACCCTTCCTGTAGATACCATACCGCTTCTTACCCAACCCTTCCTGTAGATACATGTCACTTCCTACCCAACCCTCCCTGTAGATACCATGTCGACTTCCTACCCAACCCTCCCTGTAGATACCATACCACTTCCTACCCAACCCTTCCTGTAGATACCATACCACTTCCTACCCAACCCTCCCTGTAGATACCATACCACTTCCTACCCAACCTTCCCTGTAGATACCATACCACTTCCTACCCAACCCTTCCTGTAGATACCATGTCACTTCCTACCCAACCCTCCCTGTAGATACCATGTCACTTCCTACCCAACCCTTCCTGTAGATACCATACCACTTCCTACCAAACCCTCCCTGTACAGACCATACCACTTCCTACCCAACCCTCCCTGTACATACCATACCACTTCCTACCTAACCCTTCCTGTAGATACCATACCACTTCCTACCCAACCTAACCCTCCCTGTACATACCATACCACTTCCTACCCAACCCTTCCTGTAGATACCATGTCACTTCCTACCCAACCCTTCCTGTAGATACCATACCACTTCCTACCCAACCCAACCCTCCCTGTAGATACCATGTCACTTCCTACCCAACCCTTCCTGTAGATACCATACCACTTCCTACCCAACCCTTCCTGTAGATACCATGTCACTTCCTACCCAACCCTTCCTGTAGATACCATGTCACTTCCTACCCAACCCTCCCTGTAGATACCATGTCACTTCCTACCCAACCCTCCCTGTAGATACCATACCACTTCCTACCCAACCCTTCCTGTAGATACCATACCACTTCCTACCCAACCCCTTCCTGTAGATACCATACCACTTCCTACCCAACCCTCCTCCTGTAGATACCATGTCACTTCCTACCCAACCCTTCCTGTAGATACCATGTCACTTCCTACCCAACCCTCCCCTGTAGATACCATGTCACTTCCTACCCAACCCTTCCTGTAGATACCATACCATGTCACTTCCTACCCAACCCTCCCTGTAGATACCATACCACTTCCTACCCAACCCTCCCTGTAGATACCATGCCACTTCCTACCCAACCCTCACCCAACCCCCTGTAGATACCATGTCACTTCCTACCCAACCCAACCCTACCCAACCCCCCTGTAGATATCATGATACCATACCACTTCCTACCCAACTTCCCCCTCCTGTAGATGTCACTTCCTACCCAACCTCCCCTGTAGATACCATGTCACTTCCTACCCAACCCTCCCTGTGTCACATACCATGTCACTTCCTACCCAACCCTTCCTGTAGATACCATACCACTTCCTACCCAACCTCCCTGTAGATACCATGTCACTTCCTACCCAACCCTCCCTGTAGATACCATACCACTTCCTACCCAACCCTCCCTGTAGATACCATACCACTTCCTACCCAACCCTCCCTGTAGATACCATACCACTTCCTACCCAACCCTCCCTGTAGATACCATACCACTTCCTACCCAACCCTCCCTGTAGATACCATACCACTTCCTACCCAACCCTCCCTGTAGATACCATACCACTTCCAACCCAACCCTCCCTGTAGATACCATACCACTTCCAACCCAACCCTCCCTGTAGATACCATACCACTTCCTACCCAACCCTCCCTGTAGATACCATACCACTTCCTACCCAACCCTTCCTGTAGATACTATGTCCCCAGGGGACCTCCACACGCCACCTCCTCTGTTACCTCAAGTATCATGTAGAACCTGTCCTCCGTCTCCACGACCTGGAACAGCTTACAGATATGCTGGTGGCACAACTCCTTCATCGCAGCTATCTCAGTCTTCACTCTTGGCAGGTCCTCCTGTTGGCATCAGTGGTAAGCATATCAAGTGTATGTCATCAAAATGGTATTCCCAAAAGACACACCAACACTTTTGAAACAAATACGTATCTATCTTTCTCTACCTAAATATAGTGAGTTTTTAAGTGAGTGGATGGTCATCTCAACTAGTAACAGAATTCTGAGGTGATAGGGTGTCAATGTTTTCAAAGAAAAACTTGTAAACATGAGATAAATGCTTTTGTTTTACATTGTGGCCTTAAAGATGAAAGGTCTGTTTAAACAGTATCTCATTCATCATCTATGGTGTACCATCTCTTTCGTGTTCTTTGATGGTCTTAACTTGTTCATACCTATCTGAATCACGGATAGGAGAACACAAAATGTACCAAGCAATGTGCAGTTGTCAATATACTGTGTTGACAAAAGAAGGCCAAATCATCTTAAAAGCTGACACCTTTTGCGCTAATCTTGACATAGAGAAGTATCAGATCTGAGATAATAGTTCTGCATATAATGAAATTAATCGTTTAGAAGACTGAGTCATATACTATCTAGCAAATGGAGAATATATATAAGTCTGTTCAGTGCATTTAATATACATCATTCCCAGTCTTTACAGAATATGTAGATGATGATGGATACGCACTGATTTTGAACATATCCCATCACGGCCTATACATGTACATGTTTAAGGAAAGGTGTGATTCATCTGTGAGTACTCAATCCTTTAAACTGATTCCCAAAGAGAGAGTTTGTTTTATAGGGGACGATAATAACCATGCTGCTGATGGTTTGAACCACTGAGTATTTAGTGCTATTTACACACTTTACCCATATGTTATCATTCACATTTAGGGGTGGTGGGGTAGCCTAATGGTTAATGTGATGGCTCGTCACGCCAAAGACCTGGGTTCGATTCTCCACATGGGTTCAATTTGTGAAACCCATTTCCGGTGTCCCCTGCCGTGATATTGCTTGAATATTGCTAAAAGCAGCGTAAAACTCACTTACATTGGTATCAATAGATACTGTTGGTTATTCAATATATTTCTACTCTCTTCCATCCAGTCCACTAGGTTTTGTAAACTGATGAATGGATGTTTTGAAGAAAGTTATTCATCTATGATGCTTCATTTTCATCTATGATGTTACATTTTCATATATGTAGATGTTTGTGTCCTGTACCAAGTCAGACATCATACATCTCTTAAGGGTGATAGATGTCTTCGTTAACATTAGTAAGAGGTTGCACTATCCAGTGCATTATCCAGTGTGGGAAAGTGAGTGTAGGTATTATGTCTATATTCAGACAGTAAAAGTAAAAAAGAGACTGTATGCAGTTTCAAAAAGCTACTGACGACAATTGCAAACAATGTTTTTATCCTACTGGATTATCAAATAGCAACTCAAAATTAACAGAGTTATGGCGACTTGATTTGCATATGTTACTGAAATACAAACTAACTGGAGCTTTGCAACAGAGATGAACATACAGCAATCAAATAAATTAAGGCTTCAGAAAGTCAAACTGACCCCGAGAGCCTTCTTATCCATGATCTTGACAGCAACCTTCTCCCCAGTAAGTGCATGATAGGCCAGCTTCACCTTCGCAAACCCACCTGGCAAATACAAACATCTCAGTGTGTCAGGCACATGTTACAAACATCACTGACAGTGTCGGGCACATGTTACACACATCACTGACAGTGTCGGGCACATGTTACAAACATCACTGACAGTGTCGGGCACATGTTACACACATCACTGACAGTGTCGGGCACATGTTACACACATCACTGACAGTGTCAGGCACATGTTACACACATAACTGACAGTGTCAGGCACATGTTACACACATAACTGACAGTGTCGGGCACACATATAGTACAGAGTTGTACAAGCTTACGGCCATGTCAACCAGTCGGAAATCAAAATAAATCATCAGTGAAATATATCAATTGGAACATCACTAACACTTATGACTAAACTTTTGAAGATGGGATTTCATGCAGGATATTGTTAAGCTGAACTGGCAGCCTTGGCCCACAATGGGTAAATGTCAACAAGCAGGGAAAATCTTACACTTAGGCTTCTAAGGATGTGATCCCATAAGCAAAACTCAAACAAACCTCACATGTTAAACCAGTAGAGATTCTGTGAAGAGAGTCCTCTTTGGGTAAAGTTATAAGCATTTAAATGTCCATTTAATATTCCTACGACAGCTCTTAACTATATTTTACATGTATGTAACTATCATCTACAGGGCCCCACAACCAAGAGCAGGTAACTCTATGCTCTAACCTCATACCTCACTTTCCATGCTGAATTATGTAATCCATGTATGTATTAAAGATAGCCAAAGTTAATATTTTAAGGTGAGTGAGTGAGTGAGTGAGTGAGTGAGTGAGTGAGTGAGTTAGTTTTACGCTGCACTCAGTAAGATTCTAGCAATATGGCAGCGGTCTGCAAATAATCGAGTCTGGACCAGACAATCCAGTGATCAACAGCATGAGCACCGATCTGCGCAATTGGGAACCAGTGACATGTGTCAGTCAAGTCAGCGAGCCTGACCACCCGATTCCGTTAGTCGCCTCTAAACTCACTCACCTCTAGACGCACCACATGACCACGAACCAACTCCACAAAGCTCTTGAACATCCGCGGGACTGCTCTCAACTCTAGCACATTGATGTGCAGGCTGACCTCGTGCTCGACCAAAGTCCCAAGACTGACCGGTCGCCAAGAATGCCCCCACCCTGTGAGGGAAGCATCTGTTTCAATCGTGAGCGTTGGTGTCAGGAATTCCAGGAGGAGCCTTCTGGATAAGTACCCGACGTTCATCCACCACCACAGGTGAGGAATCAATCACTTGTGCATCTCAAGACTGGTCTCGTAGCTCTTCGAGTGTGACCACAGCTGTGCCAGTGCTTGCTGTATAGGTCTCAGAACGAGTTCTGATTTCTTGAGGTTGATAATCCAGCCCAATTTAAAGAAAATATCCATTACCTGATGTGTGGTATTTTGTCTCAACTGCTGGCCTAAAGCCCTGAGTAGCCAGTCTTCGAGGTACGGGTAACAAAACCTGGTTAACTGAGCTGGGATTAACATAAGTTTGGTGAACACCCTTGGCATCTATTTGCCAAAAGGAAGCACACGAAACTGGTAGCACTGCCCATCAAGGAGAATCGGGGGTACTTCTTAAAATCAGGGTGCATTGGAACATCGAGGTATGCATCTTTGAGAAAGATTAGATCACTGAGCATAGTGTCTCCATTTTGAAAGACGGCACCTCTATCATTCTGTTCAGCCTTTTTAGGTTTAGAATGGGTCTGAACCCTCCGTCCTTCTTGGTCACTGGGAAGTAAGTGGAATAAATCTCCTCGTTTTCCTTACCGCCCAGAACTATCTCGATGGCACGGAGAATGTCTGCCTTCTCTCGGGAGGCCGGCACTTGGGTGTGCCGCACTCCGGAACAGGATGGTGGACCTCGCCTCCACTGTGGCATATGGCCATCCCTGAGTGTGGACAGGACCAAGGGATTTGTAGTGGCTTTTTTCCATTCCCGAAGGGAAGCCGCCTACAGGGACGTCTGGCATGAGGCAAAGCACTCCCACAGTTGGCAAGTCTCCACTTGCTTGTGCAGGAGGCAACAAGGGCGCCCGGGAGAAGTTAAGCGGGAAGCCGGGGTAGGCTTCCCTTTGCCCTGAAAGGCAACTTTGCACTTGCCTTGTGCCTTCTTGCTCTTCTTACCCTGCAGGGGCGACGTCCATTTAGCAGGTTCCTTCGCCAGAGCAGAATGATAGGAAGAAGCAAGAGGCGAGGGCAGCTGGCGAGCAGTGGAGAGGTGCTCCAACAACGGTTTGGAGTCCTTGAAAGTGCTGACCTCCGCCGCGGCCTCTCGCACTACTTTCAATACCCCAGGGAACAGGGTAGAACCCATGATATATGGTAAGGAAAATAACAAATGAATGTCCCGCAACTGCCGCGCTAACAAGGGCGAAGACGAGACATCGCCACCCGGACCTTAGTGTACTAGCTCCCCCTGCAGAGCAGACATTACGGTACCGCATTAAGGTAAACCTCCTCAAAGAAGCGGTAAGCGGACTTCAGCGACAAGACACAGGTCAGAAAGGGCAGCAGCCGCCGGCCCTTCCTGGCCGAGGCCAAGGAGAAACTGGTGGACCCACCTAGGGTAACTGAAGCATGCACTCAGCTAGAATAGCGCCTCCTCCCCAATGCATACTGTCTGTCCAGATCAGGAAGATCAAAGCAAGAGCATGTGCCAAGCAGGAGAGGATTCACTACCACACTCACCATTGATGGTACAATATGGAGTCTCACCTCGGCAACCTTGCTCGGTGTTTGTGGAAGGGAAAAAAGCTTTGCGTTCCTAAAATGCATAGTCCCAAGAATCCTACATGTGCATGCACAGCAGGTGTAAGCCCCAGCCAGAAAGCAGCGAGGCGGGGTATGGCGTCACCCTGTTAAAAATTTGAAATTTAGACATCATTTCCTTCCATTTTAGAGCATGTTGTCATCATTTGCACGTCAAATTAACCAAGAGAAACTTTATTGTATTTTGCTGTTCCTTTGGCAAAATACGTTTTTGGGTACTTGTTCCCAGAACACAAACCGCTTTGTGAGCAGAACACGCAGGTAGAAGATATTGTGCGTCAAATGTAGATTTATTTGCGTGAAACACGCAGGTTTTTGTGTTAAAACCAAACTGTTACTGGGCGCAAAGGCCTCCACCCCCCCAAGGCGGAACTCCGCGGGATCAGGCTCTTGCATCGGGATAGTAACCTGAGGCTAAACTTCCATGATGCGCTCACACACCTGCCTCAGGGATGACCCCTCGAGCCCCTCTCTCTCCTCATCCTCCTCAATGTCTTCCGCATCGAGCACCTTAGCAATCGAGCCCTCGAGATCGGGAGTGGTTGCCGAGAGCGCCGTAGTAGAGGCAGAATATGGAGGGCTAAGAAGTCGCCCTGTCCCCGGCTCGAGCGGCGCCAAGCACTGGAAGGAAAGAGCCATGTCAAAGCGGTATTCCCACCCCACCCACCCTCCAGAACAGAAGAATAATACATTCAACAATTAACAAACTTAATGTAGAATTTATACAAAATAACTACATAGCCCATGAATTAAGAAACAACCCCACTGACAATGAAAAGCTACACAGACTAGACAGTGAAAGAGCTAAGGAAGTAATGGCTCCCATAAGCCATCTTGACAAGCACATGGCAAGCCGACAGGAACAGGAGCAAAGTTACAACAAAGTTGAATGAAAAAACATTAGAAGCCATCTCTAATATTGCCCATGCGGAAAAAGAGAACCATACATACAGTAGAAGCTTCAGACACACTCAACTTTAAGGAATTACCAGAAGAAAACTCAAAGAAATCTTGAACGACAGCATGGAAATTGAGGTACTAGGTTAGAGCTTAGTGTTACCTGCTCTTGGCTCTTAGGCCTTGCCAGGGAATGTAGGGGTGGTCGAACAAGACAAAAGTGCATTTTTGGTTTTGTAAATATTTTATTCAAAATACAGTTACAACTGTCTTAGGAATTTTAAATGGACATTTGAATGCTTATAAGTATCCCATGGAGGATCTCCTCTGAAAAAGAATTCACAGGTAGAAACTCATATAGTCAGTAGTCCAAATGACATGTATGGGGAAATTTTCATAATTTCTTCTGGTCCTATGTACACCTTAATCATTATGAATAAACCTCATGCCACTTCTATCACTGCAATTGGAACATTAACTTCTTAAGACTTTATGAAATAAGGAATGAAACTGAATGTCTATTGCTGAAACTAAAGTGTTCTCATCCACTACTCACCTGAACCAATGGTTTCACGCAGGTGGTAGAAGCCCTTCAGCTCCGGATACTGGGATGACATCTTATCTCCTCAGATGGACTTAGTTGTTCGGTTGGATCTTTACGTATTCTGTGAGTGGTGAGGCTAAAACAAGACATCAAGTAGCCATGATTAGCAGTTCCTAATCAGCAGCGGTCTACCTGGGTAGCCTAATGCTATTAACAGATAGGGATCTTGTAGATCGTATTTCGAATAAAATTTGGGAACAGAATGAAGAAAATAGAACATGTCAATTTAATTTAACATTCATACAATAAAATAATTTAATCAATCTCTTCATGATTCTAACAACCCTTAGAACTGCAATATATCCTCAATTCGCATTTGTATTTGTAAGAATATGGCTTCTGTGTAAACCAGGTCCATACCATCACTTTATAACTCAATGCTAAAAAACAGTGGTATCATATGACCACTTTGTCACATTGCGTCCTTCCGCCACTAGTCATATAACATGCTGGGTCCCCTCTTGCTGGAACCAGGTCATCACTTCATTCATTGGTTACAGTGAGTGATGGAGTGAGTTTAGTTTTATGCATCAATCTACACGTGTCAACCAAGCCAGCTAGCCCGACCACCCGATCCCATTTGTCGCCTCTTGCGACAAGCACAATCCTTCACGGGTTCATTGGTTATAAATAGCAAATATTGTTGGTATTCACTGGTAATGGAGGAATGTATCTAAAGTACTGTCGGAAAGAGGAAAAAAATGTTTTTAGGCTGTTACTCTGTATCACTAAAATTTACACAACTGCAAGTAGCATATGTTGAAATAACCCACATCGGCTTAACTTGGCGTTCAGTGGGATGTGTAACAGGATCTCCAGAAATGCATGTTTACTTGTAAAATTGGGGCAAAACTTAGAAAAAATACGAATGGCTGCTGAAAACAATAGATCAGACTATTAGATCGCTCAGCCAGGTATGACAACGGACCGTCGACTCACCTGGCATGAAATGCATGTGCTGCCTACAGGCACAAGGGGTAATCTCAAAGATATTTCATGCTTTTTTCATGTGTATTGAATGTGTCTCATCTATTGTTTATCATCTTACGTGTCTTTCATAACGTTTATGTTGAGATATGTAAAAAAATATGATACCTATAGAAAAGCATAAATCAACTATCGTACCAAATGTCTACAAATATATAGGTGGCAAGACCACCCCAAGATCTACAGGACTGGATATTATTTGTTAATTGTTAAGACATGCCGTTTACTTCCCCCAATATTCCCCTAAAGGATTATCTTATCTTAGCTGATACCTTTATCCCCCAGTACGACCCAAACCACGGTCTGTGACACTCGTCCTTGTTTTGCTTTTGAGACGACCCCTCCTACCTGTTTCTTTTTATAGTGATAGTGTGGCTCCATGGTAGCTACATCCTTAATAGTGTCAGTATATAAGTTAGTATTTTTACGTCAGCTATTGTTTATAATGAAGCTAAGTCTAGTTTCAAAATAGGCATTTAAAAAGTGTCCTTTGAAATACAATATCATCGCACACTCATATTGCATAAAGCCATGGTCCGTTTTAAATAAGTCGCTTTGGACTTTGAAAAAAACCCTGCATTGCTCATTTCTTCACTAATCTCTCCTCAGTAAAGTCCTTTTTTTAAGTTTCCTATCTCCCTGCCACTGAGACTGTAGTTAGGCCAAACTTAGTTTAACAGATATTTCACACTTTCACATATCAACTTCATAAATTGTAGATATAAATGTTAAAAAACATTTTTTTCTATTTCCGACAGTACTTTAGTAATGTATTGACCACTATTTTCTACGTATAAGGATATTTATATATATTATATTTTTGACATTGTTGCTATTCCAGACAAAGTGGAAATTTGAAATAACTTCATTCTTGCAGTTGCACCCAGAATATATGTCTGTGACACTGGCACATTGGCTGACAAAACTGTACTGGCTGCCGAACAGTTATCGCCACGTAACAGTTATCACCAATACATCTGTATCACGCGTGCACAGTTCAGGTCAATTACACTTTTGGTATTTTGCAGCCATATCGTGACGATCTTCATGGTAAGTGGTGGTGGAATTGGGTTTAACGTCATGCTTGAGAATATTTCACTCATATGACGACGTGCATGCGTGTGTATGTGTATGTGCGGCTGCTTGTACTAGCCCAGACTGAAGCTGGTTTTATAGTGCTAGCCCACTGAGATACCATGCCGCAATGAAGCATGAATACCCCACTCAGACACATTATACTGACTCTGAGCCGACCAGTCCTTGTTGTACCCATTAATGCCGAGCGCCAGGCAGGGACCAACAAGTACCATATTTTAACGTCTTTTGGTATGACGCGGTCAGGGATCGAACCCGCGACCTTCCGCTCTCCGCGGGCGGACGCTCTAACCACTACACCACGGAGGCGGTCTTCATGGTAAGTAAAATAAGAGAAAAATTAAAGATAAAGTTATGAACTGTATAAAAAAAAGATTTTTTTTTTTTTTAACGTAGTCAGTGGGGAATGTCACTCGATCCATATAATAGCAAGTTCAAGTTCACAAAAGTCATAATTGTTTCATTCCCTATCAATCTACAGTAAAAAAACACTCAACTAGTCACACATTCAATTATTCGGGGTTACTTTATGATATAAACATATATTATTTCACAAATGACATGAGGAATTCTGAAATGGCGATAACTGTTACAGTTAATTGTGAGAAAACACCTATTTGTACTGCCATGATTCCCTTCCGCCGCATTATATAAAAACACGATTGGCGGCAGTGAAGGGGGTGGACACATCGGCGAATAGCTAATTGAGTATTATAATTAATTTTTCTGAAGGGGTCGTTGTCGGCACAGGTACTACTGATATGTACCCCAGGTACGTACCCGGTACCCTAAACGACAGACGAGTCCATATTCCACAACCCAATACCGAAACCATATCATGGGCGTATGTAGTTATTCCCGTTCAGCTGATTGCGAGTGGTGTACATTGTGCACCGCGAAATATTCGTTACTGTGTATGCTCTTATATAACGCAATCAAATGCATCTAATACAACAGTATGACAGTTTAGATCAAGAAACAGTGCAGAATAGAGTCGTCCTAGGCTACGTTTCTGTATTCTGATTTTGTTTAGGGTACATGTCTGTATACAGAAACGTACCTGGGGTACACGTCTGTGGTATCCGTGCCGACAACGGCCCCTTCAGCATTAATTTTGTTTCACTAATTTAACGAATGGCTGAGTAATTTTGTAAATACCACTAAAATATAGCAATAACTGTTTGGCAGCCAGTAGCATAGTGAAATGCAATCCAATTATCAAGTGCAAAATAATTTTGAAGTAATTCTGACATTCTACCAGAAATACCCCAATTTGTATTATTCAATTCATGTAATTGCTCTTTACAGTTTGTAAGTATTATGGGCATAGGAGACTGTCTCCTAAATCTGTACTTGTATCTTACACGTGCTTTGGATATTGTGGCATTAAAAACAGAAAAAAGCCAGAAGTACACCACTCTGTGTTTTGAATTGGATCATTGTACAGTTACTCAGTAAATAATGACATTTCATAATTGCATGACTTCAAAATATATTTACAACGTGTAACAACATGTAGCAACATGTAGCATTATAGATTCTATCGGCGTATGTATTTAATGTAATGACAACTATAACAGTTAGTTTACCTAGATCCATAATGCAAGAACATCGATCCAAAGTCAGTCTGAAATTCTTGTTAATTTGAAAACTCAACATGTTTTCATCATACGGGTTCATAAAATATGTTTGATCATCTTTACTTTATCTCACCAGACATTAGTTTCTTAAATTCACTCAGAGACACAGTCCATCCAACGTGTTTCTTGTCGCAGAGATGTTGACTGCCACTGTGGTGTTTGCCTTGCCAAGACGGGCACTTGTTGTTTCAAATTTGGCTCGTGAATACGACTGACCAATCGTTTTACTTCATATAGATGAGTGCGGATCACTTTACTTTAGGATAAAAGTTAAAAGAGACAGTGATTATTTATTTGGAGCATGCGAAGTACAATCTGTAAATATGTGGAGCGACATGATTTTATATGAAACTATTCCTTTCTTAACTTTGGCTGCGAACCTTTAAATCGTCAAAATGGCGTCGGAGGAAGAGGTACTCATGTTTCAATAGTGTCAAACTTTGCTATACACCCCTTTATCTTTGATATCATTCTGATATTTTCTACTAAAATTATTAAAATCACATTTTAAAAATTCATTTTTTACCGATCAATGTTCTCTAGATCCCATATTTACCTAAATGTTTCTGACCTTGTGCTAACACTAGGAATCTCGGAGCAGAAAGCAAACTGCTTCCCGCGAACTCATGTGTTTTTAACTAGACATCTCGTTAAATCAGCTCTGATTAACGGATTAACTTTCACATCATTCAGAGTTGCTAGATATTTTCAGTACCTGGACTAACTATCATATTCAACTCTTAATATGGGCATTCGGAGCACAATTCTGTTTGAATATATTGTAACATTCAAGTGAAGTATCAATGTATTCAATACTTGTGCCTTGGGACACTAGAATCTATAACACACTTAGCAAAAACATTGGAAATAATTCTACTACAGGCATGACGACTAAGCCCATAAACCTATTACAGATCTATTTGCATCCAAACAATACCTTGAATAAGGTCTGCTGACAACCGATCAGTTATTTCTGTTGTCTGTTGTTTCTTCAATAGAAACAAATTCAAGTATACAATACTTAAAATAATATATGTGACTTTTGTAATACAAAAATGTGCTTATTTCAGTCCCTGGGAGTAGTTTCTGTCAGGTTTTTTAATATCACAAAGAGAAGGAAAGAAAACAGTAGAAATAGAACTTTCCTGTCAACTTGCTGTGCCAGTTGTCACCATAGTCTAACCAACCCATCATGTGATAATGCCCAGCTTTCCAGTTAAACAAATTGCACATTGTTAGTGTTTTGTATCACAGTGACATGTTTTATCCATTTTGATAATTTTAATAAATAAGAAATGTCAATTTTCATCTGTCAACAGAAAGACATATTCCAAAATAATGATATAGGCATATGCTTATCCATGACAATATTTTCTGTTGATTTCACAAGATAGACAAATTCTGCATGTGTTGAAAAAAGTTTCTTTGTATTTGAAACCTTGTTTTCAGAAAGAAATGAGAGATGGATTGCAAACAATGATTTTACTAATTGTGCCCCATCCTGTGGATCTTAGCTGTCGTAAACTTGTTATGTGAAATCCTCATATTTAAAATTACATCTAAGCTTGATTCCTATCTGATGTACCTTTTAATATTTGTGAAGAAAAGTTAAGTTTGCTCATGATTTCTGATAAATATCTATCTTTTCTGATGTAAATGAGCAAACAGCAAACATTCGACAATTGAAGCAGAATAAACTTACGAATGTGTGTGTGGTGTGTGTGTGTGTTGGGTTGTACTGTACTGTTTTAGTAATTACAATTGCATGGCAACAATAAATACCCTAATTTCTAATTTTGTTCTCTTTGATTGTCTTCCATATATTCCAGAAGTCTGTATTTCACTCTGAATGTCATTTTTTTTTTTTGGTTACAATCATGGTAAATTTGATTTGTGTACTTTCAGGATGAAGAATTGGCAGCGTTGAGATTTGCTGCACTGGCGTCTATGAAAAATGTAATATTTGCTCCCATCTATAACAATTCATGATAAACCCTTGATTATCCATCATGTCGTATATCTCTTTTCCATTATGATATGCATACTCTTAAACCATTCATCACCAAGCCTTAACGTGCTCAAGGGATGTCACTATTTCCATCTCCAGCATCACTAACTTGGCACAAAACTGAAAGTGGAACTCAACATCCAATCACAAATTACCCATGAAGGTCTGGATTAGAATATTGGCCTTCAGTAACCCATGCTTGTCGCAAGAGGCGACTAACGGGATCGGGTGGTCAGGTTCGCTGACTTGGTTGACACGTCATCGGTTCCCAACTGCGCAGATCGATGCTCATGCTGTTGATCACTGGATTGTCTGGTCCAGACTCGATTATTTACAGACCGCCACCATATAGCTGGAACATTGCTGAGTGCGGCGTAAAACTACAAATGTTATGTTTGGGATTACACTTTCTTTTGTGAAGTACAAATTTAAGTACCTGTGATTCGAACCCACGAACTGAGTGTGGGGCAGTAAATCACCAGCACACAAAGCCACTCATGCACTGAGACTTCCTGCATCGATTAAGTCGCTGACTTTGTGTGCTGGTACTTTGGTACCTGACTCTCAGAGTGTGGGTCGAATCCCAGATCAGACTAACCCTAAAAGAGAGCTAGAATTTGTAATTTACAAAGAAAGTATAATTTCATGTATATCATTTGTTTCCTTTGACCACTTTCTAAAAAAGCCACAAGCAAAATTACTTTTAAAATGAACCTCTTACTGAAGGTTGGATGTTTTCTTATGTATTAAGAGTGAGGGAGAGAAGTTCCCAGTTGTATTTGAGATGCGATATAATATGTAGCGGTACATTTACATGAGTCAAGTACCTGTGATCTTACAAAATATTTCCCCAATGCCAATGCTTTCAATCATTTTGTTGTTTCGTCCGATGACTCTCTTTACTGTTGTGGTTTTCGAATGGGTACCAAAGATTTATCAAACTGAACGAAATGGCAATATGATACACTAACAGATTGAGCATGGATAAAGGAATAAGATAAATGTAAAGTACTAAATGTATTCAGTCTGTACAAAACGGCTGTTGAGCCTTTTAGCCAAAATGTGGCTCTTTGCACCACTCTTTGTACAGTTTTAGATTGACATGTATTACTGATCTAACTGGACCAAGCAAAAGTTAACTCAACTCCTGCTTTTGATAAGTGGCTGAAGTTTTAAGCGGATTAATGTATACTAGTATTTACAGTTGTAGGAAGTGGTTGTAATAGCCAAGTGGTTAAATCGTTAGCTCGTCATGCCTAAGACCCCCGTTCAATTCCCCACATGTGCAAAATATGTGAAGCCCATTTCTGGTGTCCCCAGCTGTGATATTGTTGGAATATTGCTAAAAGCGGCATAAAACTAAACTCACACACTCACCCATTATTTACAGTTGTATTTAACTGATAAAGCTGCAGTAATGTTTTGAAAGTGTATCATTATCAAATATTATTACTTACATTTACAATTAAGATTTGCTCACAATCGTTTCAATATCTAGTAAAAATAGTGTCCGTAACAATGTAGAGACTGTCAGCACGTCTCTCATCTGGACAATGCATGTTGCTGTGTTGACAGAAGCAGAAGCCTGTGGTGGAAGAAGATGAAGATCTGAAAGCCCTGAAAGAAGCAGCTCTGAAGACACTTGAGAAAACTCTAGTCAATCCAAGTGTGGTAATTACTTGTTTCAGAATTACATAGGGATTTAGTAAATATTCCATGTGGCAGTGGGATGTGAACTGTTGTACAGGATTCAATGTTATTGTGTGTTGCATTTTCAAATGAGCATCGATTGTTACTATGGTCCACAACTGGATCATTCCTCATTCATCATGTAATCAGATGTCAGTCTGTGATGAACATATCAGCACAGCTGATAGCCGTTGATTTATGGAACTGAACTTAAATGATTGTCAAAGAATTTCAATAAAATTGCCTTATCTGATCAAAATAGTGCTTTATTGGCATACCACAGTAAATATTGAAATGGCATGCTTGAAATATTTGTACAGTACCCTTGCGTATATATAAATAATACTCACTATGATTCATTTAATGGAAAATATTAATGTGACCAATTCAAATGATTAAAAACCTGTTTTTGCACCCTGTTAAACTATCGGTGTCACTCTTGATCTCTCAGCTTACACGGGTGTGGACAGTTTGAATGCCAGTGTGATGTTTCGGTTAGGATAACAGTTTCTGGGTTAGCAGAAGATAATATTTATCGAGCCATGTCAGTGCCGCAAAAGAGAACAATATTAAAGGTCACATGCAACGTAAAACACAACTTTGAGATTCTGATACCTTTCGGTATGGACTTACATATACAAATCATAAAAAAATGCAAATTCAACTTATAAAGTTGAAAAATAACGCGATGAAACCACCATCCCCCTCCCACACACACACACACACACACACACACACACACACACACACACACACACACACACACACACACACACACGCAAAATCGGAGTTCAAACGATTCACTAAATTCACCCCAGCTTGGGGTGAAAAGTGGTTTCAACAGCTGTGCTTCACTGCGCTGGGCTGCGCTCCTATGTCTTTGTCACAGACAAAACTCAATGTCTGTTTTATTGACAACTATGTGTCTGCCTGCCTGTCTGCTAATGACAATACGCAATACACAACTTCGATCATTGACCACATGCAATTTGAACTTAACACCTATGAGGTTATACACCATAAAAAAAAACGCATTGATATATGGCTCGTGCATCGAGTTCGGGCTCTGCCACATTATGTAATTACACAGACAGGCAGGTGTGATACTTGTCCACTGTTCAATGTTACATCAAGAACAAACAAGGCTTACATGTTTCTGGATGACCTACTTGTTCTGTCAATGTCAGTGCTTTCTGTTTCAAGTCAAATTTATCTTTTGAATAGCCTATTGTCATTGTTTTATGCCCAGTTTTTGCATTGCAGGCCTCTTGTACCCCTCCCCCGACATCCATCTCAGCCCCCAACCACCTGCAGCCAGTACAGTCACACTCGCCAAACTACTACAACAGTCAGCCACCTAGCCAGTATATACACAGCCAGTATTCACAACCCCCACCAAACTACCATCAGATAGTCCAGTCCAATGACTTCTACCACCAGCACAATTGCCATCCTTCCTACGGTAGAGGCCAGGCACCCCAAGTGCATTCATCTGGAGGCAGGTCCCACAGAAGAAATGTTGCAAGGGGCAGCGTTTCAAGGAGCATTGTTTCCATGGCTAATGTGAACAGAAGCAATACACCCCCAGGGATTGTTTCTCGTGGCGGTGCATCCAGAGCATCTGTATCCAGAGGGAGTGCCAGTCATGGAAATGCCCCAAGAGGATTACCGCCACGTGGCAATAACTTGATTGTAATTAGCCCTATGCCAATGCAGGGTGAAGCATCACTCATTGAGAACAGATCTATCGATCACACAGGGAAAGCCTTGCCAAAAGTTGAGACGTCTAAACCAATGCTGCTACGTCCACAGGATAAGTGGTGCTCAGGTACATCTGACAGCAACAGCATGACAGCCAGTCCGTCTAGGCCAAAAGGTATGAAAGTATTGTCCCCTCCCGAAACAGTATGAGGTAGTTCCATCCGTGTATTACCTGGCTAATGTTTTAATATAACTGTGAAGATTACCCTAATGGTACTGATCCGAGCGTAACCATATTTTAAGCCATGGTAGTGTTACTGAAATGTTGTTTCAGTTAGGTTTGTTCGTTGATAATGAAGGTCTTGGTCTGTGACTACTGATATGGAATGCATTAAAATGGGCAAGTGGGGAGTGAGTTTGGAGGGGAATGGGACTGGGTGTTAGGGATTGCAAGGTATTTCATATTGGCATCCATACAACCTCTGTCTGGTGATGTCAGGACACAGCAATAGTACCATGAAATTATTCTGAAAATTCAGATGAGGGTTAGATTATGATGCCATTTTCAAAGTGACAAAAGGTACTGTTTACAGACAACAACACTGAGAAAGTTGTCTTATGTTTTAATTAATTAAAGTAACAAAAGTACAGAAAATCCAAGCAGTTTAATTATGATTACACTCAGGGCATCATCACAGTTTTGTTATTTTTAAACTGAACTCCAAAACTTTACACATATTTATGTCTATATTTCAGCTTCCGGGAAGTTCAGTAGATTTGATACAAGCGGCAGTGAAAGTGAAGAGGAGTCTGATGAAGAAGAAGAAATAACTCCTCTCAATAAGTCCTCTGACAAGGAAAATGAATCAGATCGGAGCAACAGTGACACTGAAGTGGACAATAATAAATCGTCTGACTCTGACAGTAACAGCAGGCTAAGTGATTATGAAAGTGACAAGTCCAAGGACAACGTGAGTGCCAGTGACGACAGTGTGAGTGATGACAGTGACAATAAAGACCAGTCTGAGATTGAAAGAAAAGATGACCATAAGTCTGACAGTGATGTAAATCTTGAATCAGAGACTGAAGAGGAGAGAAATGAAAGACTTGAGACGGACAGATTACTTGAAGAAAGTATGGATCGCAGACAGGTATTCGGCAGCAGCTCAGGGAAGGAAGATGAGTCGCCTGTAAAGTGGACCACTAAAAATATTCTTGAGACTGTGACTACTGGGGATGTGCAAACAGCTAACTTTGATCTCTCACAAAAACTAGCGCATCACAGAGCTAAGATGAAGGAGGAAAATTGTAATGACAAGGTTGCAGGGGATCTGTCTGAAAAACTCACCAACCGCCGCAATCGACAACAAGATGTTGATCAGCCAAACTCATCTACAGTCTCTGTAGCATCAAAAGATTACGAAAACATCAAGATTCAGAAAGTGGTGGAAGGAGATGAAGATGTGTCCAAGACAAATATGTCCGCAAATGAACTTAAACGGTTAGAGGCAAGGAAGAGAAAATTTGAAGGGTCTCCTGTGTCTGGGATCAGTGAAGTGAAAAAGACAATTTCATTGAAGGGAATAGTGCCACGGTCTAAGAAGAGACCAAAGGAACGTCATGAATCTAGATCTGTGTCTCCTGTGCCTAAGCGTTATTCAAAAGACTTTGAAAGGTATGAGAAGAGGAAGGCTTCTAAGACACGAAGGAAAAGTGGATCCAAAGAAAATCATGAAGTAAAGCCTCCTAAAGAAGACCGACAAGGAAAAGAGAGATCTGATGGTAGACCTAAGTCAAGAGACAAAAGTAATAGCAAGATTGTGGAAAGTAAAAAAACAGAAGTTACTGCCGATACGTCAGATGATTCAAAATCTGACATTGATGTTGAAATAAGTGGCAGTGAAAGTGATAGTGAAGAAGGCAGGGCATGGAGGAAAGGAGAAAATAAAAACAGGATAGGTATGAATAGAGACAGAAGCCGACCAGTCCGACACACTACTGAGCGTTTTGATAGTTGGCAAAGACAAGGTCGTCATGGCAGCCCTCCAACTCAGCGCGACCGTTTTGCTGACAGAAGACGTCAGTTTAGGGACCCCCGAAATGATGTTCCATCCAAACATCGAAGAGGTGGTGGAAGGCAGCGAAGCGTGGAACTTTTGGGTGAGAGTGAGAGCGATTCTGATGGACCAAGATTGCCCAGCAGTATTGTGATGCCAAATAGTAAAAAGAACACGGACAACTGGAAGAGTAAGTCTTCAAGGTTAAAAGAGAGTAATAACTCAGACAATGAAAACTCTGATTCAGAATTAACATCCTTTAAGAAATCAAATTCTGATTCTATTAACAGACGTATCATTTCTTCTGATACTGGGAGGAGAAGACAAAACAGACGCTCCAGAAAGGTGACAGCTGACTTTGATGACCACAATACAGTAACTATAAAGACAAATTCCACCAAGGAACATTCCGAAAGAAAAGCCAAGTTTGAGTCTAGAGATAGGAACTCTTTGAGTGTGACAGTTGACTCTGAAAAAGAAGTTACATCCCGATATCGTGCATCTGTCCATGACCGTTTAGGTCGACAGCTGCATCAGACTGATTCGGAATCAGTTAAGTTGAAAGTCAACCATGGTGGTGCTGATGCCAAACAGAAGAGTGCTGAAGATGGGAAGCATGTTCTTGATGATCTTGAGTCCACAGAAATGAAGCAAGTGTCCGCAGAAGAAGCATCAGAAGATTCTCCACGTATGTTATGTCCTTTGAGATTAGAGTGTCCTGGTTTTTGGCAAAGTTTTGGAAATATGCGAACAAGTTAAAGTACCATGAGCATGATCAATGTTTGATTTGATAACTGACCTGCTGAACTATGAAGTATTGTATTTGTGCACTGTGTTTGTTTTTATCTTAATCATGTTAATACTGCATATTGATGTTTGGAAACTTGAAATAATGAAAAAACATGAATAACAGATTTGTCTATAAATATTCAAATAGTTTTAGCTGAGTGGTATCATTTGACAGTGCTTCAGGAACACTGTATGGTAGTGACAGAAAGTAGGAGATAAACCAGGGTCGTTTCCTGACATCCGTGTGATGTTAATCGGTACTTTATCAACATAACATCATGGGTAATATGATGATCATATTAAAACAAGAAACAAGGTACACATTGTTAAGGACATTCAAAAGTAGTTTCCTTACTCCTATTCCTGTTGTTAACAAATTATTAACTTTCAACATAGTCTTTGAGGATTGTGTGGAGAAAGTCAGGGCATTATGTTCAGTGATGTTTCTTGTTTTATATTATTTGGGATACAATATGAATTTACAAGGATGCATTTAAATCATCTCTAAAAACCCACTTTTTTCGTCTTGCCTATTACTAGACTTTCTATGTTCAATTGTCTCTCTGTAAAAAGTCTTAACTATTTTTTTCTCCTATAGTATTGTAGTGCCATGAGCGGGTTTTAGTACCTGGATGTAGCGCTATGTAAATGCCCACATTATTATTATTATTATTAAATCACGTCTCCTAGCATGTGTTCATCAAATATAAAGTTCTTTTTGGAAATCTCCAACTGTGATTTAAGTCCTATTTTCAGCCCTAGTGATGCTCAGTCATTGTTAGTAGTTTGGATTATAAAGGGAAGTAACTCTTCATAGTCTAGTTGCATGTCTAAATATGAACTGGAAAAAATATGAGGTTTGTAATGGAATAAAGTTTGTGAAGTTGTTAAATTTCATGTACTTTCCTGGGTGAAACATTACCTTGAACTAAGAGGTTAATTACAAATAAATTTATACTGTCAATGTAATAATTACTTGCTATTGCTTTTTGACACTGGTTGGATTTATTTATGTTTCTCTGTTAAAATTTCATTACATTTTTGACATTTTGATCATCCAGGTTTTAGAGAATAATTAATGTTTCATTCATTTCTCCACTTGTTTTTTGGGTAAATCTCACTTGTGTGGTATGATGACCTTTACAGGAATATTTATAGTGCAATGTTGTGTATCTGTGTGATGTGTGAAAATATAGTGTATAACTTAGTGTTAGTATGTGATCACCATGAAATGTTCATTCACTATTGTGACTACATAGGCAACCATTGCAAGTCTTTCTGAAACCTTCCACACAAAATATGGCCATTTTCATAAGTGCAGTGTTCGTTACCGTAATTCATTTAACTGACTTGATCATTATATTTGCATCAGAAGTTGTCTGTTAAAGCTAACTTTATTTATATATTTGAAGAATTTGAATTCCTTTCATATACATGTATATGTACCTACTGATGATATTGATTGTCACGGATTAACAAGACGTGGATGTATTACCTTTGATGGGGAAAAGGCTGAACAACCTTCTTCATGATGTTCTGTGTGAAACACTAAGAAGTGCAGCACATCAAGTAGTCCAACTACTACTATGTAGTTTTGATGTCACTCACTAACACTGAGGGTTGTGTGCATGTTGTTTTGGTAACTTCTGAGTATATTCACTGGACATGCACAGTTTGATGGCTTTGGTTCTTTTGAATGATTATATTGTCAGTAATTAAATCATTGTTTTTTGTCAAGTTCCAAAGAATGTCTCGAACATATGACAAACCTATTAGTGCACATGAGTGCATGTCCAAAGAGGTTGCCTCATGTGCCATTGTTTGTGACAGATTCCCCTCTTTGTTGTTCTCAGTGTGTTTGCCACAGCTCGCTGGCCCTCTGTGCGGCCCATCTGTCCCAGGGCGTTACATGGCTCAATTACATGGCCCCACCAGAAGAGACATTGTTATTCTATGTAATTGACATAGTATTTGTTTATATTATGTTATTTTAATTTGGATCACTTCTGCAAGCTTATACTGCTTACATATTTATAATAGTTGTGCAATTATTATTGTTGAAATAGACCTGTTGTATTGCTCAAAATGATTTTATGATGGGCTGTGCTAATGTGGACCATTTTGATACAGATTGTCAGCATTAATATTGTGCCTACAATCCTATCGGTCTTTATTGAAACATGTTGAAGATTATGTCTACATGCTAAATGGTTTACATTCTTATAGAAGCAGATGATGAGAGCGACGCATCCAGAGAATCAAGGAGAAGAATGCAGCTATCCTGAAGCGACAAGAGGAAGTCCGACAGGATAAAGAAAGATATGGCTAGACACAGTGATATTGCTAGACACAGAGTGATAGGTTGTAATGACGAGCGTGGAATAGGTTCTGGCTGCATGAGTAGAGTTTACTGAAAGGAGCAGAGTGAGGGGTGTGTGTGATATGTATGATCAGTAGAAATATTGGTACAATGGACACAAGGGTAGACTTTGTATGACATGATAGCAATGCCCCAAGTCTTTACATAAAGGAATATAAAAAATAACTACTTCAAAGCATTTTACTGATTGCAATTAAATTTAACAAAATATTAGGGACGAATCTTGTCATGTTAAAACTGATGATTGCTACATTTTACCATGTTTAAATCTAGAGGGTAAAATGTTAAAAGATTGTTGTTTGGAATGTTACTGTGATTAATCAAAGAATAACTACCCTTCCCTGAATTTGATTGATTGATTGGAGTGTGGCAATTGCACAACTACTGCCAACTTCTCAACTGGATTTTCTAAGAAATAGGTCAAGTAAAAAACTTCATATTACTTTTGGAGAATCAAAGGAATATTTTTTACATCACATTTGTGCTTACTTCATACTGTAATATTCTGTTTTGCCATGTTGTCAGGATCATGTAAGTAGTAGTTACTGATGGCAGTATGCTGGTGTGTCAGTAATTGTACAGTAATTGTATCCATGAAAAAGGTTTGTTATGACTTGAATCTGCCCAGGTGTGAATGAAAGTTTTCAATAGTAGTGTTATTTTTGTTATCATTAATGTTATTCCATCAGGTCCTATCATTGCATATTCTTCAGTAAATATTTATCCACTTAATCTGAACAAGTGTTCAGTTTCCTAAGATAGTCATTTTCATCAATACTTACAATTCATCAATTGTCCTATTGAAATACTTCATGGAGATAATGTTCATGATGTCAAGTGCTACTCTTAGATGAGTGAGAATGCATCTGTACAGATAGTTTGTACTTGTCACACTGTCATGCGTGATGCTGACTAATAAAAACATCATTTTATTTGAACTGTTTTGTGTTTTGTGAAGCAACTGATTCAATACCCGTGAAGGTCCGGGTTAGAATGAACCTTCAGTAACCTATGCTTGTCATAAGAGGCGACTAGCGGGATCGGTGGTCATGCTCACTGACTTGGTTGACACATGTCATCGGTTCCCAATTGCGCAGATCGATGTTCATGCTGTTGATAACTGGATTGTCTGGTCCAGACTCGATTATTTACAGACCGCTGCTCAAATATTGCTGACTGCGGCGTAAAACTAAACTCACTCACTCACTCACTGATTCAATATTTGTTGAGTTTGAGTAAAATGAAAAATTGTCACAAAAACGGAAAAAAACAAGGGTGCTGAAACACACCAGCACTGTGTTGGATTCAAACTCCCAAACACAACAGCTTAATGCAAATGGGTGGTAAATCTGAAATAACTGGAACTATAATTGTATCAAATATCTTGAAGGCATCAGTACAAAAGACAAAACCATGCTTTCTTTGATAATTATATAATGACATCAGTGCCTTGTTAGCCTGAGCTGCTAAACAGCTTTGTGCCTTTGACCATGACAAAGTTGGTGTGAAGACAACCTCAAGATACCTATAATTATTAACAACATCAATTTTCTTATCTTTAAAGTACCATTTCTTGTAACTTTTTAGAGGAACACCTCTTCGTAATACCATTATCTTAGTTTTTTTTGTATATTTACCTTCATACCAGTTGCTGCACAAAATTGTTCTAAAACATTTATTTTTCTTTGTAGATTGATAACAGAATCAGATACCCCTGATACATCATCAGCAAAGAATAATGCTACAATATTTGGATTCTTGTGAAACAAATATACCCTTACCTCCTTTCTCTTCGAGCATTACAGACAATTGGTTTATAAAGATAAGGAATATAAGAGGACTCATAATACACCCCTGACAGGTTCCAATACCACACTTAAAGTACTCTGTTAATCCACCATCTGTTCTTACACAGCATGATAATGGTGAATACATAGAGACAATAAAATCAAGCAATTTACCTCGTACACCTATATTGTATAAACCTTTAAACAGAACATTGTGGTTTACACAATCAAACGCTTTACTAAAATCTATAAATATACAGTAAAATCTGCCTTTTTTCTTGGATATGTACTTCTGAATCATTGCTTGCAAAGTAAATACCTGATCGATAGTGGAGTAACCAGGCCTGAAACCTGCCTGGAGCTCAGAGGTAACATGGTTCTCATCACACCATACATGGAGCCTCTTGTTCGGGGTAGCAGCTAGAGTTTTACTTAAGTATCAATTAATGAAATTCCTCTATAATTTCTTTTGTCATTCTTATTACCTGATTTATGGAATGGGCAAATTATACTTTTACCCCATACAGTGGGAAATATTCCAACATGAATTTTTTTAATATATATTTGTCACTAGTGGTACAATATAACAAATAGTGGACTTCAAAATTCACTTTGTATACCATCTTCACCTGGGTATTTTTCCATTTTTTAATTTGCCAAACTCTGCTTTACTTCGTCTTCTGTGATAGGTACATTTAAATTACAAGTTGAAGCATTTACATCCTCACAAGATGGCATGAAATGAAAATGAGAAATTTACTGAAAATTACTACCTTCATTCTCATGAGAAACATATAACAAATTATTAAAATATCTAAATCAATTATCTATAGTGATATTTTTGGGCAAGGATATAATAATCCTATCTCTCATTAGTACTTCCCAAAATCCTTTGGGGTCACATCTGGCATTTACAAGTAGCATTCTCTGTTGGCTCTGAAAACTCTCTCATAACACAAAATAACTTCTTAATTGTCTATACAGATCGATATTGAGGCCACACTTCCAATAATTGTTCAATGCTGTGTATTTTCTATGTTTATATTACTCCAGTTCTTCGTCCCACCAAGGTGGTTGAGTGACAGATGAAGCTCACATACTTGCATGATTCTTCATTCCCAAAACTTTCTTCTAACGATGTGTATTTTCGTGAAATCGCCCACCGTCAAGATGACTATTAAAAGATACAGAGACTGTTAACATGTTAGAGGATATGTAGAGACACCAATCACCATGCGTCCCGTCAGCCTATATCGTATCTATGCTTGAACAACAAGAAACACGTTAAGTTTGGGTGGGGGTTGGACAGGAATGGTTACAGTTTTCTGCCATAAACCTGGGCCTAGATTTTCGAAGCTCTCTTAGCGCTAGGATAGTCGTAAGTGCCATGCATTAACATTAACTTACGACTATCTTAGCACTAAGAGAGCTTCGAAAATCTAGGCCCTGGCAGATAATGTGCACAAAAAAACAAGAGTGATTCAGAGATGGTGGGTTTCAGAAAATTGCCAAGAGAAAATATATACCGTTAGGAGAGGATTCTTTTCAGACCTCTAGAAGCTGATGCATCATCACATCCCACCGTACGAGGGACAGTCCAAGAACGTTTCGGTTTGCTTGTAAACATACAGCGTTATGCTCCCATTAGGCATTACCTCTCTATGTCGGAGCCCGGCCGTGCCCCGTTAAATACTGACAATAATATTATAGAGGTAATTCGCAAGAAACAATATCGGACTGTCATGCGTGATGCTGACTCATAAAAACATCATTTCATATGAACTGTTGTGTGTTTTGTGAAGCAACTGATTCAATACCCGTGAATGTCCGGGTTAGAATGAACCCTCAGTAACCCATGCTTGTCGTAAGAGGCGACTAACGGGATCGGGTGGTCAGGCTTGCTGGCTTGGTTGACACATGTCATCGGTTCCCAATTGCGCAGATCGATGCTCATGCTGTTGATCACTAGATTGTCTGGTCCCCACTCGATTATTTAAAGACCGCCGCCATATAGCTCAAATATTGCTGAGTGCACAAAACTAAACTCACTCACTCACTCGTCGGCCTGGTTCATGCATTCTTTGATTGGCATTCTAGAAGTTGAGGAGATGAAGAATGAGCACAGTTTTTTATGGATATGCAACTTCTTCATTCTGTATAGGCGACGTTTCATATAGATTCTAATGCTTGACAACGACATTAGAATCTATGTTGAAACGTCGCCTATACAGAATAAAGAAGGTAAATATCCCTACAAATTGTCATCATTCTTCAAGGTTCACGAATTAGGACTCGGTGTAATCATGGTCAGTTTTTAGTACTGACGTCTTTTACATCA